TTTGCGGAAAACTGTGAGGTCCTAATCCAGTTTCTCAGCACCAGTATGCCTCAGACGTATTTGTCTCAGACACTAGTTCCTGGACATTCTAAGATTTCTCACTCAGAAAATTAAGACTAATTAAGAGTAAATAGAATTGGCAAAATTGTAAAATATGAATCATTATCACTTTTAAGTAACAATATAAAATTTGAAAATCATTCATTAAACTGAAAAAAAAACAGAGTAAAATCATGTTGACTTCAGTTCCACCAACTGAATTGTGGATCTCTAATAGCATATTCCTAAAATTTTGCTCAAATTACCAGTGCTGAGAACTAGGAGTCAACCTCAGGGTTTATTAAAATAGCAATAAGAGCAGATGGGTACTTCCGTGTTAAGACAATATATGTGTTCTTGAAAAGCCTCAAATTCTACAAACTCATACACTACAGATAAAAACTGGGTTAGGTACAGACCACTGGAGACTTGGTCATCATGGTGATCAGAATATCAACAGAAACAAGATTCAAGCCTAACTTGGATGGCCCAGGCAGCTTCAGGAGGTGTTACGAATGAACACAGTCAATGGAGGGAACACACATGACTGTGGGCTCCAGTGACACCTAGACTGCGGGAGTGGAGCTCTGACACAAGAATAAAGGGCAGCCTACTGGGAGCCCCGCACTTTGTGAACCTGGGCCTGTCTTCTCTGGGGAGGAAGTCATAGTGTTGGCCTTCACCTTTTAATTTTCTTAAAGATCAAGTTGAAAATTCTCCTGCCTTTGCACAGTTGAGCTGAGAGCTTTTTCCTTTCCCTGTGAAGTTGTAACTTGATTCCCACTGTTCCAGATGTCCTTGCCTAAGAAAAATTACATAGGAACCAACATGACTTCTATGTTTTGCTGACAACATTCTCCTTTTTACCAACCAGGCTTATGCTAAATTGGTATTATAAGATGAACAGGCATATAATCTTTCTCCTTCCCTATGTGTGCTGGCATGGTAAAGGTAGACAAAAGATGTCTGTGCTATTAAATGTGATTTGAGCTTTGAGAGTTCTAATAATCCTGATTCTTGAGTAGAGTTAGGCCAAAACAATGAAAGAGTCCATCCAAATTTTTCACTTCTACAGACTCTAAAACATATCCATCTGCAATATCACCACCCAGTTTCCTTTGAAACATTTTCCTTGGATTGGTATCTTTTTATCTCTTTGCAGGAGGAATTCCAGCTCCTATATATTTCGGGGCTATGATTGATAGAGCATGCATGAAGTGGTCCATCAACAACCTTGGGAAGCAAGGGACTTGTAGGATATATAATTCCAAATTATATGGGTAAGTTGTCTTAAATATATTTTATTAATTGATTTTTTTCCTTTGACTATGTTAATTCCTGAAGGATGTTATTTTCAGTGTAACATTAATAATTATAGCCAACATTTAAAAAACTTTGTATTCAGTGCTATATCAGGCAATCTGGCATCTCATTTTAATAGAAACTGTAGATGATATTTTTCTCCTTTTTCCTTAAATATGAAGAAACTAAGAGCCAAGAAGAATGAGTAACTTGTTCAAAATTACACAGTTAATATCAAAAAGATCTGGGATTTTTATTCAGGTTGTTTTTGTTTCCAAAAACTCTCCTAATACAAAACAACAACAAAAACTACAAAAACACACACAAAAAAACAAAACAAAACAAAAAACCTATATACAATGGCCTCAGCCCTCTCTAGGAAGACAGAATATTATCAACTGGGGCTCTGGTCATAATTTAGTGGGAAAAAATATTTCTAGACTCTTCTGTACATAGGGAAATAACTGGATGGCCGTCTAGGAAAAGATAGTTGTAGTAATTCCTTAACCTTAAAGAAAACTAACTGCAAATTAATCAAATATACAAATTTAAAGTGTGAAACTTCAAGTATGAGAAGAAATCACGGTAGCAATTCTTTTAACTATCCAGGAAGCAGGAATGTATTTCTAAGTATGACTTAAATCCCCCAAACCATGATAGGAAAAATAAAATAAAATATTTTAAAAACTGTATCACCAAAAGTTCAAAGACAAAAGATAAATTGCAAAAAGAATTTATAACTCATGACATAGACGCAAGGCAAATGTCCTAAATATATAAAGAGTGCTTAAAAACTAAGAATAAACCATACCAAATGCTGGCAAGGATGTGGAACAGTAGGAATTCTCTTTTATTGCTGATGGGAGTGCAAAATTGTTCATTCACTTTGGAAAACCATCTGACAGTTTCTTACAAAGCTAAACATAGTCTTACTTTATGGTCAAGCCATTGTGCTCCTGAGTATTTACTCAAATGAGTTGGAAGCTTATACTTACCCAAAAAGCTGCATGTGGGTGTTTAATAGCAGCTTTATTCATAAATTGCTAAAAAATAGAAGCAACCAAGATGTTCTTCAACAGGTGAATAGATAAATAAACTGTGGTACATACATACAATGGAATATTATTCAACAGTAAAAGGAAATGAGCTATCCAGCTACAAAAAGACAAGATGGAATCTTAAATGCACATTGGCAAGTGAAAGAAGGCAGTCTGAAAAAAACTCTGTCCTGTGTGATTCCAATGATATGTCTTTCATGAAGTTTGCACTATGCCTGACACCTGGAAATGACTATCCTCTTTAGAACTCTTTACACTTTGTGGCTCAGTCATGGTCCTTATCCCGTTTCTTTTGGTTAGTTGTGTTCATTGCCTAAAGTAGTTTGCAAAGTAATTGCCTAAAGATTGTCTGAAGAGGAATTTTTAGAAAGATCAGGGGATTTGCCAATGAATACATACGAAAAAACTTAAAGTCACCTTATGATTTTTTTTGGATTTAATACTTTGAGGTAACTAGATAATTATTCATTGCTTTTATCTAGCATAGACAAATAACATGAACAATTCCTAATCCAAGGAGTAAAAGTCTATATTATAATATCAATCCTGAATCTAAACCTAATTCAGTTTCTCTCAATAGCAGTCACGTAAAGAGAAACCCACATTGGTTTTTCTTGGTAGCAGTGGAAATTTTGGGGAGTTTAACATTGGTGATAACTATTTGGCATAACCCGTGTATAAGGCAAATATATTTGAAGACTTTAAAAATATTTCTTTAATCAAATTTGGTACAGCACAACATCCTGTTCCAAGTTTAATAAACTTAAGCTTAAACAGCTCAAAGTTATATAATGAATTCCATTCACCTTCAGTTAAACCTGCTAAGTGTGTTCATGGTATCTTTTGCTTAAAGCTTGTCAACATTTAGTTAACGAGGCGAGCGCTTCCTAACCTAGCAGGTCAGTGGTCATCAATCTTTCCTGCTCCCTGGAATCACCTGAGGAGCTTTAAAAAATACTAATTTCTGTGTCCCACCTTTTAGTGATTTTGACTTAATTGATTAGGGGGTGTGGCCTGGTTATGGGATTTTAAAAAAATCTCTTAGGTGATTCTAATGTTCAGCCAAAGTGGAGGATTACAGGAATAGACCACGTCTGCCAGGTAATTTTATGCATTTTTGTTAAAAACTTGTAGTGGACCACACGGCAGGGTCTTGTGGACTGTAAGCCAGTAACATAAACATTGGCTCCTGGTTCAACTTAAATGGGTTCAATTTGATTGTCTTACCATCAGTTCATTGCCTTTATCATCTGTTCTCATTGCATGTGAGCTAATCTGTCTTTGAGAAAGTTAAGCATTCCAAATATATCTTATTTTTTGGAAAGCGCAGATCATTAACTACCCTTAGTTTCTAATGGGTTAATATTCCTTTAAAAATAATCACAGATTCCTTCTGCTCCAATCAAAAGAATCACTAAAATTGTTACCTCAATATTCTTTGATGTTTTTATGCAAGATTTCAAACATCTTTTTTTTTTTTAAGATCTTCTGCATCCTGGAGAGCAAACATACAGTGTTGCCCACAATTCCAAATGAAAATTGCCTCTTTTATTTTTTCTCTTTTCACAGAAATACCTTTTTTGGCTTGAGTACATGCTTAAAATTCTCAGCACTTATTTTATATGTTGTATTAATTTCTGCTATGAAGAAAAAATATGAAGGAAAAAACACCAAGGGATCAGAACCTGAAGGAAAAGCCGTGAATGAAGCAAACTTAGAACCGTTAAATGGTGATGCCACAGCAGACCATGAAACACATATTTAAGGGGAGAAGAAAAATTTCTTCTGCTGCTGGGTTTTTAACTAACATTGTATTAATTGAGTAGGATGTTATTTTTGAGCAGTTCCTGGCCCTTTCACTGATGATGTTCCACATTCCTTACTAATAATGGAGCAATGAATCACCTATGAATTTATGACAATGAAACAAACTATAAATGGGAACGAGAATGGGAGTGTTATGGCTGTGCATCTGGGGTTAAGAATAGAATATATGATCTATACAAATTTAAAGTGAAAGGCATGGTTAATATGTAACAGAATAAAAAGTATTTGTTTAGGTAATTGTAACTCATCAAACCAGTGACTAGTAACTAGGTAAAGGTGAAAAAGGAAGAGAGAAATTAATAGCCTAAATAAGGAGAAAAGCCTAATGCCATTTTTAAAACCAGTTTGGACCATGTTACTCAAGCCTGAAGTCTAGTATAACGAAGGAGTTATGCTATCATGACATCTGTCATTCATATATTAAGTCATATATTTTCCAAACCTTATGAATGTATAAGCTGAAGTTGTGTTTGACTAGCAACCCCCTGATACATTGTCTTCGAACCGCTCATTAAGATACTGCTGAAGAAATAGAGCAAATCAAAAATTTGCAAGCTGAGATGGTCAGACAGCATATTACAGGATGTGTTAAGTTTCTTTCAGGCTCATGGAAATGGATTAAGAAAAACTGACATTAACCTGAAAAAGCAAAGCCCATTTAAAAGAGGTGACTTCATTCCATTTGTCTGCTGTCTGGAAGAAGTGAGGTCTGCACCAGATCATTTACTAGTTGTCTTGCTACTGCATGGCTTTTTTTTTTTTTATGAGTTTATTTGTGTTTGGTGCACAAAGAGACTTCTTTCACAGCCCCACCAGTAGAGCGAGAAATAGAGTAAATGAGAACACATATTTGAATATTGCATTTGCTAGTGATGGCAGCTTTATTATAGTAAATGCTAGAAATTGTAGTTTTTATTCTTAATAGGCTAAAAGAAAAAAAATGGCATTAGAATCACCTGTGAAGCATTTTTTTTTTAAAAAAGAAGCTACAATCATACACCCACTTCAGAGGTTTTGATTCAAAACATGTGTGATACAGCCTGGATATCTCCTTTCTTTAAAAAAAAAAAATCCAGATGGAGCCCTTGATAAAGAGATACAGAAAACCAAGCCTCAGGATAGAAGAAATTCCTAAATATACCAAAGCCACATAAGATGAATGCTTGCTAGAATCTGGGAATGAGACTGAAATTTTTATGTATTAACCTATTCTCAAACTGTAGACCTGAGAAAAGATTCATTAAACACATAAGCAGAAATTTGAAAAACCACCCACCTGCTAGGTTACTATGTGAAAATTTTGATGGGATCTTGTCTCATTAAAAAATAAAGAGAGAAAATTATGGACTTCAAAAAAAAATTACAAAGAAAAAGACAATATCTTGAATATTTATTTCTTCAACAATTATTGAGTGTCAAAAATCTGACAGGCAAAATGATATATAACAGTAAACCAAGGAAGGACACTACCTTGTAGAGCTTACACCTTAAAGGGAAAGAAGACTATAACAAAATTAAGTTATAAAATTTTATACAATTATATAAATTGAAAGAATAAATTTATATTTAGAAGTCCAATGTGCTATCCATTGCACCACAGAGACACCTTAAATTTATATTTGTATGTGACATGTACAGTGAAAGAGAGGAACATTAAAATGTATAGCTCAGATTATTTGATCTACTTCAGAGTCCAAGAATCCAGAATAAATATTAATCCTTACTTCAGTAGCAGGTATTAAACATGAATACCGACCCAAGGGGGAAAATTCAACAGAGATAAGAATATGATAAGAAAAGTTTTCAAGGAAGCAAAATAAGGCAAAATAGTTAAAATATACATTGAATAAGGTTGAAAGAAGACAATGGCCCCAAACCCAAATCCATGATTAAAAAAAAATACAGTTGAAAAATCTATGAAAATCTGGAAGAAAAAGATAAAGAAGAAATTTGTGGAAGAAGGTAGGTGATTTAGAGGATCAACTAAAACACCAACCTAAGAAATCTATTTTTGAGGAAGAAATCAGAGCTGAAAAAAGCATTAATCAGAGATTTAGTGGGAGAATGACTTCTTTCTATGAAGAAAGACTTAAGTGTCCAGACTGAAGTCTCCTTCTTGCCCCACGTCTTCACACTCCCATCCTTTTTCACACAATGAGGTCTTTGATCATGATGTTTCTCTCGCCTGAAAAGCTCTTTTTTTTCCCGAGTAACTGCTTCTTGGCATCCAGATCTAAGCTCAGTCAACATTCTTTCAATGTCTCTGACTTCTTCACTGGTTAAAATCTTCCAATGTATTCGTAGCAATGTAACACTTATCAAAGTGATAATTTTACATTTTTAAGATTATTTGATAACTGTTTGTTTTCCCCACCAATCATGAGCTCTAGGAAGGTAGGAAGTGAACTCTTTTTACCTACATATTTTATTTCCAGCATCTAGCTTGGTGCCTGACAGCTTGCAGATGCATCATCAATTATTTCTGAAAGAATGATACATGAATGAATAAATAAACTCTAAAAATGCCAGTCCTACAAAAAAAATGAATGTTATAAACAAGAACTAAAAACAAGATGGAAAAATTTAAAATAGGTACATTAAGTCATTGGATATGGAGTGATGGTTTCAGATGTTTTGAAGCTTTTCTTTAATATTTTAAATGAAAAATAAATTTGAAATGTCAAAAAAGTGTTTTTGACTGCTATCTACATGCTAAGCATGAGAGGTAAAAATATTTACAAAATAGAATCTTGGCCCTTTGCCAGCCCACAAATGAGGTGGAGAAATAGCATGTAAACACATTATAATGTATACCATAATAAATACTGTAATAGAATAAAAATGTTCATGTCTCTCATTCTTAGAAACTGTGCTAATCTCTTTGTTTCAATTTCAACATACGTATTTCTGGAGCTTTTACCCAAAAGAAAGTATTGAGCAATAATCATAATAAATTTGACAGTGGCCATTGTCACTTTCCTCTTGTGTACCTTCTACCCTCCCTAAATAGACTTGCTCACCACCTGGAAACCAAGAACCAACCTGATGAGAAAATGATTACACAAAGCAGTGTGACTTCAGCAACACCGTGGAGCATTCCTGACCACTAACCCGTAAATGCATTGTTACCGAACTCGGGTTTGGCCACTCACCACTCAAAAGCCAGTAATTCGAACGGCAAGTGTTAGTAGAAAGGAAAGGTCCTTTAATCAGAAAAGCCAGCAATCTAGGGAGAAGGCAGACATGTCTAGAGAGCAATTTCAAAGATTCTGTTCAGCCATGACAGTTTTTAAAGGGAAGAATGGCAGCGGGGAGGAAATCTGAGCGAATCATCAAGGCAGGAGGTTGAGTTCTGCTCATTGTCCATTGTCTGCTGACTGGCTGACTCTCTCGTCACATGTTATTTTGCCTACATGACCTGCCAGCAGGATTGCTAAGGGAGCTGTTGGGGGTAGAGAGCTAATCGTTCTTTAACTACTTACTTCTTCATTCTTCTTTTTATCTAGAAAAAGAATGAACAGGTTAGGAAAGACATGGTGTGCATTCAGGAGAGCATAAGTCAGGCGTTAGTTTCACTTGCTTAGTGACCTCATATCTATAATTAAGTTCTTTCAGGGTTAGAGGGGAACAGAAATGCACAAAGAGCAAAGGGGCAAAAGAGCTGCCTTCAGTTCCCCACTGTCAAACATCATTCCATTTCTATGAAATAAGCGGTGAAGCTCCATCTCCTGTAACTCCTTTGGGTTGACATAGGGTATTGTAGTCTCAGAGTGGAAGATACAGCCTCTTGACATGGGTCTGTAGCATCTTTTTGCTGACAATTTTAGTTGCCCACTTACCTATACAGGTAGAGCAAGCTATAATTATTTCGACGCCTATAAATATATAGATTATTATGAGCAAAAATGTTAATCGCATTCTCTTGAGGCCAGTTCTTGGAATTGTGCTAGCCACAGGTTCAGTGCTGCTCAAGATGGAGAAGCTTATGTCATGTCCACAGTCTGATCATCATACAGTTAGCTCCCTCCCCCACCAAGTGGCAGTTACGGTATTTATAAAACAACTCAGGAATGTGTATCAGGCACTAAGCCTGTGACTCTATTATCCCTAATCATTAACTGCTCAGTTTTGTACCTTGGGGGTGGGCTGGCCTGCAGGGTTCTGCTCCATTCCAACACCTCTTGCTCCTAACTAATCTCTGTTGTTAAGCTTGAGGCTGTTTCAAGGTCTATCACTAGAAACTTACCCCTTTAAATTAAGACTTTGTCTCCATTTAAATTGGAAGGGACCACAGATTATCAGGCACTTCACAGTAGGAGTGAGAGTCCAATCATTTTTAAGCAACAGGTTTTTGAAAGGAGTGGAAATGGAAAGCACAAAGAATATTTAGAAAGCAAGAGAAAATTTAACAGAAAAATGACATGCCATTAGGATACGTTAAATTATTATTTTATTTAGAAACTGACTTCTTCTGTGTTGGAGGATGGAGGGAATGAAAAGTACCCGTCAAACTAACAAGGCATCTCGAGACAGAAAATTAAGGCAGGCAGCTTCATGTAATTAATGGATCTTTTATTATAGGGTAACTTACTCACACAGTGGGATCTATTGGGATCGGGCAATAAGGATCTGGAAGCATTCACATCTGCACTCCCCACCACCAAAGGGACATAGGTGTAACTGAGCAGGATCCTATTTTGTCATCAGTGACCATCTGATATCTGCAATGGCACTTGTGACTGCTTAACTGTATAATGGTTTGAAGGGTTTTTCTCATGCCGTTGCTGACCAGGTTTGGGCTGGAGAGGAGGGAGGCTTGGGTGGTTCACCCAACCCCCTCATGTTGCTGTGTGCAGGGAGCATGCTCAGTGCCCTCCCCTTGACCCCAGTCCCCACCTCTTGACCCCAGTGCCCTCCTCTTGACTCCTTGTGGTTTCCTTGTATCCTATTGTTCAAACTGCAGGCCTCAGCCTGCAGCAGGAGGTCTCAGGCCTCAGCCACTTAAAAGGCTAAAAGCATTTACCAATCTGACTTTAAACTGCACAATTTTTTTCTCTAGAGTTCTTTTCCATGGAGCCCCTTCCTACACATCCTTTGTTCTAGGTACAAACATATTAAGTTAGCCCCAAAGCCAGAGGTAGACTTCATATCCAGCAGAGGGAAGGGGACCACTGCATCTGCAAAAGCAAGAACAACTTTGCAACAATTTGTTATTCTATATGTGATCTCCATGGAAACTAGCTCCCCCCTTCAACTCTTGAACTTTTACTATAAAACCCTCTGCCTTCTCTCCCTAGCAGGCTCACAGTCTTAGAGGCATTAGCCCACTGTGACCTCCTTTGCCTGGCAAAGAAATAAAGCTGCTTTTTCTTCTTCATCCAAAACTCTCTTCTCAAGTCTTATTTCAGTTAGTGGGGTGCGGAGGCCATATTTGGGCAACATTGGGACAATTTTATAGTTAACTAGGGAATGGAGATGGATGCTTGGAAATAGGACAGACATTCCTAAGTCAAGATTTATGAATAGGTAAGTAGTCTTATGAATGCTGGGAACATGTCAGGGAAGATTTTCATCATTGTTTGAGAACTAACAGAGCATACAGGCTCTTTGCTCCTAACGATTATTAAACTGTATCTATTAACTGCAAATCCCCTGATGACCAAGAAGTGATTTACCGCACAGTATAGTCCTGGGTAGAGTCTGTGGAAGGATAGGACAAAGTGTAAGGGCCCAAGGTGGCATCAGCCTTAACAGCTGATTTATGGACATCTAAAGGCTTGAAGAGTCTTGTAAGATTTCCTTTTTATTTTACTTTAAAGTAACATTTGCTTAAATTTTCCTTAGGGCTGATTGGAAAAAAAAAAGTCTCATATTTTGTTTTTATCACACACCAGGCTTTACTTTGACAGCACTGTTTATAATGGACCTCTGAGTACTGCTTGAGCCATTTCTATCATTTCTGTCCTGTATGAGTCATATATGTAAGTCATATTCATATATGATCAGGCTATAACATTGAGAACAGTAAAAAGGAAAGTAAGTGCATTGTTTAAAAACATAAAAATAATCTCCTCAGGTACCTACTCAGGTGTTTGTAGGATGCCAAACCTCCTGAGTAATAAATTTAAAATTTGATACAAGAGTCATAAATCTTAAAATCACTTCCAAGATTTAATATGCCGACTATGTGGCTGAACAAACTGAAAAAATCTTAAGTATATAGTCAATAAAATAAGCTCCTTATTTCTATTTGTCCTAGAGCAGGAGATAATATTGATATCAATGCAGGTTTCAAGGCCATGACGTTGTGTAATAGCATTTATTACTCTCACCCTAGACATGGGCAGACTTAGTGTGAAACATAACTGGCAATATCCATCTTCTGTCTAGATGTGTATCATCCAGTATAATAGTCACTTTCCAAATCTTATCAAGTATTTGATTGTTTTACCTCGTTCTCTCTTTCCTGTCCTCTTTTCTTTCCCTTCCTTTGTCTTGTCCTTATTTTTCCTACCTGAATAATTCAATCCTGAGCCATTAGATGGTGCCAAGCAAACAGGTATACAGGAATGTGGAGTAAATAAACCTGGCTGTTCATCCTACCCTCTTGGACCGGAAACTCCATATCCTCCACAAGGCCTCTTGTGTCTAAAATCCTTTCAGACTTTTATTGTATCCCTAAGCTACAAAACAATTGAGTAGATTTAGTCTTAAATGTGCATGTTGAATTTTAGTAACCTCAGTTCCATAACCGAAGCTACTTTTTAAAAGCTTCATTCTCTAAGATGATGTATGGAAAATTAGTCTTTGTATTTTAACGTAGGACATCCTCAGTGACACAAACGTTAGACGAAGGCGGCGTCCTGAATCTGGGAAAGTGGCTTTTTTGGGGACAATATCTGACACTGCAGACAGTTTTAGGACTAGTGTTTTTCTAATATTGTCCTTTCATCCTTTGACTTAGACACTTGTTTTTAAGAGAGAGTTTAGTCACCAGGTTTGAATTGCTGAAAAAAAAAAAAAGCCCAACAGTTTTTGCTACATGATTTTTAATTACCTGATTAAGTTTGTCAGTACTCTGAACAAAATGAGTAAATATATGACACGAATAAAAAAAGGCAGGGAATGAAAGAAGAGCAAGTGATGGCATATTAGTGAGTAATCTACTTTAAAAGAATCATGTCTAGAATGACTAGGAAAGGGTAAAGAACAATTCCAAAATAGAAAAAGACTTAGGCTTCTTTCACTTAAAGTGGTAAATTTGAAGAAAAATACTTCAATATTCACAGAAGATAAGAATTTCAGTCTCTAAATCAACTCGATATCAAAGCAGAAATTCAATGGACTTAAATAGATATTCATCATAGGAAAATTTTAGAATCTCTTGGAAAAGGAGGTGTGGGAGCTATTCACTTATTTTGCATGAGTTGAAAGAGAAGTTGCTGTTTTAATGTAAAAAGAAAGCTGCATCTAATATCCTGTTTTGAAGGTTATAAATGTTCCTCTGAGGAAAATCACTTCACCATCAGTGAACATTTTTTTACCTCGAGTAAAAAGAAATTTTTGATAAAGACAAGGACAAGTTACCTGATGTACCTCTACTGATTTTAAAAACAATTAGGTTGAGTGTGTTGTCCAACTCTGGGAGACATGCGATAGCAGAGTGCTACAGTTTAGTTTTTAATTCCTCATCATTCAAAACTTTGGACTTTTGGTCCATCTCTTTGCACTCAGTTTCCTTCCCTGTAAACTTTGTCTCCAGCATAGTTTCTGGTGAGGCATTTTCCGCAGGTAGACGATGCTTTCTCAAAATAAGTAGGATCAAAAAGGCTGGAATATAGCTTGATCCTCTTAGTGCTGCTGGTAATCCCAGGTAGATGCGTCTATCAAAAAAAAAATAGTTAAAACATATTGTATCTTACATAGACAGTGTGGTGAATACAAATTGGTTTTGCATATTTTAATTTATTAATATTTTACTCCCATAAGGACAAAGCAGCTAACTGTTCTGCATGTCAAGCTTACAGAAGGAATTTTGCTAAATTTGCTTATTAGCAATTTGTTAAAATAATTTTTGGCCTTTTTAAATCCAGAAAATCCAAATTAATTTTCTTCCTTTCTAATCTTTTGTTACTGTTTTTATGTTATCTTTTTACATTGAATAGACTCTCCAACTTAAATTTAATACTGACAGTCATAGAGATTTTATTTTGGTGTTTAATGAAAATTTCAAAGAGTCACCACTAATTATGATGTTTACTCCTGTGTTGTTGTTTTTTGATGATCTTAATTGGGTTTAGTAAGTTCCTCTCTTCTCTTCTGACTTTGCTCGAGTTTTAGTTATGAATTTGTAAAATATCACCAAATTGTTTTTCTGTGTGTAATTGTAGTTAGCAGAATATCCAAGATTATTATTATTTGTTATTATTATATAACAAATTCTATTTGTTAGCTTTTATACATTACTAGATTCCATGTGTTATTTTCTTGCATGCATATTTATAAGTAAAATCAGCCTATACTTTCTCCCTTGTAATTAACTTGTCAATTGTCAATATCAAGATTGCACTAACTTTGTAAAGTGAATTGGGATATTTTCCCTCTTTTTTCCATTTCTAGGAATAACTTGTATAATACAGGAGTTATCAGTTCATTAAAGGTTTGTAAGACTTGCCTTGAAGGCTTCTGGACTTGATACCTTTGGAAGATGGGAGTTTTTGACTGATACACATTTTTAAAACGCCATGAAAATATTCATGTTTTCTATATATTTATTGTAAAACTTAGTAATGTATACTTACCTAAAAAACTCTCTATTTAATATGTTTCCAAATTATTATATCTAAAATTCTGAAGTTATTCTGTACTTATATTTCCTTTTAATAGTGTTTATTTGTGCCTTTTCTCTTTATTTGCCTTTCCAGATTATTATTACTATACTTTAGTATTTAAAAAAATACACATTTTAATTTTTGTGGTTACCTCTATGGTGTGCAGACTACTTATTAATTTCTGCTTTTTATTGTCATTTTTCTACTTCTAATATTTTCTTTTATTATGAAACATTTCAAGAATGCAGAAAAAGAGTTAAAGATATTTATACTTACCACCCAGATTGTTTAAATGATTAAATTTTGCCATTTTTGTTTCAGAACAATTTAAAAGAAAGTATTAATACATTTAATTCCCATGTGTATTATGATCCTATTACATTCTGACCCATTCCAGCTGTATGTAACACTGTGTTTAATTTTATAGATTTTGTTCCTGGTTAATTTTCATAGTTTTACAAAGCATGCATGTATCCATTCATAATATATATAATTATTTTATATGTTTTTAGATTTTAAATAATTGATATATTATATTTTTATTCTGAAGATTTTCAGATCAGTCCACCTTTTTGAAACTATTCCCATACATATAGTTCTACTTCATTTATTTTTAACCATTGCACCACAGTCCAGTGAATGAACACACCACAGCTAATTATCCATTTTCCTATTGTATATTTATATTGTTCAGTCTTTCCTTATGTCACCAATATTGCAATAAACCTTCATTTACCATCTCCTTGTGCATGTAAAATTTTCTCTAAATTATGTCTAAGGGTCTTAGACTACGTAACTTAGTAAATATTGCCCCAAAGTTCCTTTCTGATAGTTTTTATTCCCCACCAGCAATGTATGAGAGTTCTTGATGCTCCCAATTTGTGCTCTGTCATTCTTCATTGTCTGTAGTGTCTTTTGTTGCAAAGAAAATCCAAGATTTTATATGCAGTCACATTTGCCCATTTCTTGCTCTCTGGTTTGTGATTTTGTTTCAACCCAAACCCAAAGCAATAAGGATCATAAAGATATTAGGGTCTATTTTTGTTGGTAATCTAACTACTATTGGTCTAACTGTTATTTCTTTAAAAACCACATGTTTATTTCTCTGGGTAACTTTTACATTTTTCTTTCTCTTGGGAGTTTGTAATTTCACTCCAATATGTCTATTATATTCCACTAGGCATTTGAAGTTTACTTTGGTCTGAAAATTTACTTCTTTGTTAAATTCTAGGAAATCCTAAGCCTTTAATTTTTTAATTATCTCCACCATTTCCTCTGTTCTCTGTTCTAGAAATTTTCTGAGATATATGTTTTAATCTGTCCCAGGTGGATGGGTCACAGCTAAGAAATCCTGAGTTTAGGAAATCTCAATCTTTTAAATGGGTTGCAAACACATCTGCCAGTCTTTGCCCCAGAGGGAGCTACTGTCTTCATCATCCTGGTCAGAAAACTCTGCTCCAGAGGGAAAGATCATTTACATCTTCCAGCATTGCTTACTGTTCAAACACCAAGATAGTTCAGACCAAAAGCCTCTGCTAACAAGATATTCAGAAACTCAAGGGACTCATGAAGAATTTTCTATCAACATGTAACTCTTGTTTCTATGTTGTATTAGTTTTTGGTGAATTTTCTCATGAGTATACTTCACTGGCCACTCTAATTAACCTGACTAGGCAAAGAATGGTACTAAATACAATAATTGTGTCTGAAAAAGCATTTAATCAAGGCTACTATCAACAGGAATCTCCAAGCAGCAGGATGAAGCCAACCTACACCAGGGATCTTTGGTGTTCCTCGACTGTGATGCAAACCCATGACGTGCACAGTGTGTCCCTGGGGCCTCCTCTGCATTACCCTGTGGAACTTTAGGGGAAAGAGGATCTGAAGAAACCATGAATCTCATGCTGTCTGCTCTCTTCACAGTTCTTGACATATATCCTTTTACTGATCAAGAGAAGGCTTTAGACTATTTTAAACAATACTAAATCATTTTTCAGTAAATAAAAGAGTTTTTTCTTACTGCCCTATAAGGAGAAGCTAATACAAATTTAAACAAAAATCAGGTCTCCAAATGGGAAAGAATGTGAAAATAGAAAGCGAAAAATAGAAGAGTTTTGTTCAAACACTGGTAAATGTTACCATGAGTTTTGTTCAAAATCAGATCTATATATTAACAAAAAAACTAAGGCTTTAAGAGAAATGAAGAACGTTGTGTCAGTGAAATTTAATGAGGGAGAATAAACATTATTTTGGAGATGGGAAGTGGATGGTAAAAAGAAGTAAAGATTCTGGCTAGGAAGATGCTGAAATAATGTAGGATGAAATGGGGATACTTGAGAGAATCATATAGTTTGATAGGTACAGCAGTGACCTTCAGTGATGTATTGATTGCAACCAATTTAGGGAACAATCTTTTGAAAGTCATCCATGCTTATATTTACCAAGTACTTTGAAAATATTGAGGAACTGAAATTCTAGTGTATAAATGAGAAATGGAGATACAGTATCAATATCTGTTCTGGAAACAAAGCCAAAAGTAGTCAGTGACTTGATAAGGAAAATGCTACACATGAATGGTACCATTTTATGCCCAGTCTATGTTTAGAAAACAATTCTCAAAAAAAAAAAAGCTTTACCTGAAGTTAGTGGAATCATAGATCCTGCATGCCCCTGACTCACCACACTTCAAAGTTCCCCAGTGTAAACATGTGGAGTCAATTAAAGCTCCAAAATAGATAGGTGCAGGAATTCCAGCTTCAATTAAAAGGGAGAAAGAAAAATCCATTAACAAGGTAAGAATTAAGGTACATTTTTTTTGTTTGGAAACATTTTAATTTTCTCTATCCATAGAACAAATGAAGTTTAACAAAATATAAACCTACTGCTTCAAACTTTATTTTTAGACATTAAAAGTTACTATTTTTCCCTTTTTATTGAAGTATAGTTGATTTACAATATTGTGTCAGTTCCAGGTGTACAGCAAAGTGATTCAGTTATATATAGTTCTATAAATTTTTTTCAGATTATTTTCCATGGTAGGTTATTACAAGATACTAAGTTATTTTTACTGTAGAAATTTTAGATTGATAAAAGAAAGTAATCTCATGGATAAATGCAAAATAAAAATTATCAGTAGAGAAAAACATTTAATTAGTGATTCTTTTTATTTCTTCTCTAGAATGTTTTGGGCCAGTCACGGGCACACTTTATTTTAACAAAGCATTTCCTGTTCCTTTGCTTTTCAAATTGCACTGATGAAAAGCAATTGATGAAAAGTAGAATTAAGGTCAGCTATGTCTTTTCCAAGTAAAAAGGAGAAGTTCTGCATTTCTTCTTGTGCTTCATTCTCATGCTAATTACAGGGGGAAGGGTATAGCTCAGTGGTAGAGTGCTTGCCTGGCACGCACAAGGTCCTGGGTTCAAATCCCAGCACCTCCATTAAAAATAAATAAGTAAAAAAGAAAAAGTACCTTCCACCTCATGCTAATTACAAAGTTCCACTTACAAGTGGAAGGGATAGTTGTTCGCCTGTTACTCTGAGGGGGTGATTTCATTTACTTAATATTAAATAGTGGTCTGATGTGATGTTAGAAAAAAAACTATTTTTACCAAATATTCTTGTGCAAAATGCATGTAATCCTACGCCAAGCGACTTCTCTTCAGACTTGATACACCTAAAAAATAAATCCATAAATAAAAGAAAAATAGAGGTTTTAAAACTACCATAGTTTTTTGAAAGGAAAATTTGTGCTAGTAACACACTGAGATCAGAAAATTTTCTTACATGCTCAGGTCTTGGTTATTTAATGCCTAATTATCCAGTTTATAACCTACATAGGAGCCCGACCTCTGGTCCTTGGCATTTAATCCTTCATTTTTTGCTCACTCATTTCTAGCATAAAATTGTCAAAGAAGAATACATTTCATGTGAATCGATTTTTTACCCCAGTATCCTCTTCTTGAGTAGTAGTTCTTGATTCTAATGGTGAAATCTTTTAGATGAAGGAAGAGAGTAAAGACATGAAGAAAGCTAAAAGCATGATTAAGTACTTGTCTTAACAGAAAGTAGATATTAATACTATAAAAAGTTTTGAAACTGATAGGAGTTAAGAATTTCGATAATCAGGTTAACAATTTGAAAGATATAACTTTTAAAGCAGAAGAAGAAAATACAATAGATACAATGGAAAGCGAAAAAAGAAGCAAAAAGAAAGTCAAATAAATAGAATATATGAAATAAAGTATGAAATAAAGTGGCAAAAAGAGCTCTATCACAGTGACTGCAATCCATGTAAGCGGGTTAGACTCACTAATCTCAGATTACAAAATCAGACCTAGCAAATTGTCTGTAAAGTGAAATAGAAGATTGAAATATTGCAAATAAAAGGAATAAAAAAAGGTATAACATGAAACAATGAACCAAAAAAAAAAAAGCTAGAACTGCAATTTTAATAAGAAACAAAATAGAATTCCCTGAAAGAAAGGACTAAAAGATAAAGAAGAAAATTAAGTGCTGCTAATAATGGAATTGTAATGATCAAAGACACACTTACATCCTACAAGAGAGACTCCAAACATGTAAATTAAAAAACTGACAGAGTTACGGGGAGAAATACATCAGCAATTTTTAGAGATTTTAATACCCACCTCTGAAAAACTGTTAAGCAGACAAAAAACAAGTATAGATTTACAAAGTTTAGATAACACAATGAATTAACTTGAGTCCAAGGAATATGAAAACTGTATATCGAAAACACAGAAGTTACACATTTTTTTCAGAAACACATGAAAAAATCAAAAATTAAACATGTGCTAGGCCCCAAAGGCAGCCTCAATATTTCACACAACCCCACATCTTTCAGATTATGTTCTCAGAACATGAAAATGAAATAATAAAGGATACCTATTGAAATTTCCCATAGATATGGAAAGTCTATAACACACTAATAAACAAATTTTGGTTTAGTGGAGCAAATCATAAAAGAAATTACAAAATAGAATTAAGCTTCACGGAAAATACTATTTGAGGCACAGCTAAAGTAATAGTTGGAAGGAAATGTGTGGTTTCATCTATATCAACCAACATGAACAAAATGATCTAAGTGTTAAACTCAGATAGCTGCATAAGGAGTAACAGAGCAAGCCCAAAAGGAGAAAAAAAATTTTTAAATAAAACAAAGAGCAGAAAAATGTGAAATAAAGATTAACAAACTCGAAAACACATTCTTTTAAAAAGAAAATAAAACAGACAGCCTTTGGCAACAATGCTCAGGAAAAAAATAAAGATGGTACAATAAACAAAATGCAAGAGAAAAAGGGAAAATCCTTTCAATACATCAGAGAATATTAGAATGATAAAAGGCTGTTACAAACAGGTACACATTAACAAGCATACAGCTGGTGTAGGCACTAGTGTGAATAGACACTAACACTAAATAAAGGAAAATAATAACCAATCATCACTGTCCAAATAAGCCCAAAGTGTAGTTTCACAGGTGAATGCATAGAACTTTCAACAAATAGATATTTAATGCAAGTAGTTACAGAAATTAAAAAATAGAAAATTAACCAATTCAAAAAAAAAAGAAAGAAAGAAAATTAACCAATTCATTTGTAGGCCTAGAATGATTCCAAAACAAAAAGAATAGAAAATAGTAGGTATGTTTTACTCATCAACAAAGATACAATAATTTTAAATAAATTATTATTTAAACAAATCATATATAAAATATATCGTGATTAAATATGGTTTTTCTTAGATTTGTAAAGAATTCAATATAAAAAAAATCTATCACTTTATTTCACCACACTGAAAGTACTGAGTAGAAGGAGTCTGTGTAAGTTTTTTCCTGGATGCAGAAAAATATATTTAATCGTTTAATGCTGATTCTATTATTAAAAACTCAGAAACTGGATGAAAACTGTATACTAAAAATCTACAGCAAGCATCATATTTAATGGAAAAAATTTACGTGGTTTCCATTAAGATGAGAAAAGAACAAGAATACGCACTGTCACTAGTAGGGTTTAACGTAGTTTTGGAGGTCCGAGTTGATGCTCTAAGAAAATTTTAAAAGCCTAAGATGTACAAAGTTTGGAAACGAAGAGATAAAATTTTCCATATCTGCATACATTTCTACAATGAAAACCTAACAAATCCACAAGTTACAAGGACAAATAAGAAAAACCGATGGATAAAAAGTAAATTTTTAAAAAGCCACAGCATTCCTCTAAACCAACAATAATCAACTAGAAAACATAAGAGAAAATAGTACCGTATAGAATTACAAGTATATATGTATGTTTGGATATATATATATATATGGATATGTATCTCTTTGTAATTCTACATGGTACCATTTTGTATGTATATGTGTGTATATATGTGTGAGTGTGTGTGTGTCTGTATAGAAGCTATAAAAGAAAATTTAAATAAATGGAAAGATAGTCCATGTTCACAAATATATGATGTCAGAGTTTCTCTGATTAATATAGGGAATCTGCACAATCAAAATTCATATGAGGGTATAAAGATCCATGCATTGAGAGCTAAATCAATTTGGGAAGAAAAGAGTAAAAGTAGAGTAAAGGTGAAAGTAGTGGGTGGGTGAGGAAGAGTTACTTTGAGACATTAACATAGCCAGTGTCAAGGTAGCAAAATCAACGTGGCACTAGCCTGAGAACAGACAAAACTGCGGGACAGAATAAGAGTGAAAACTAGGCCCATGTTATACAAAAACCTGTGATATGATGAAGGCAGCACCACAAACCAATGGAGAAAGGACCTCTTATTTATGCTATGATGTTAGGAAAACTAGTTTTTGGAGAAAAATATCACTGACTAGCTCTTTCTCTTGCACCAAACATAAAGATAGACTTGTGATGGTTTAAAGAACTAGGTAAAGCTACAAAGTTAATAGGATAAAATTTAGGGGAATATTTTTATAAATTAGGGAAATATTTTTCTAAGTTAAAGATGTATTTTTATAATCTAATTTTCTAATATAAGGATGTATTTTATAATGTATTTTAGGAAACCCTTTTTAAATGTAACTACCCAATACACCAACTCGAAGGCAAGAAAATTGTTAGATTTCAGTACAACAAAATTTAGGATTTAATTTCATTAAAAATACTATGGAAAAGTTCAAAGAAAGATGAAAGACTAGGAGAAGATAATGATACCAAATAAACAATATTATATTAATATCTATAATTCACCAAAAGTATAGAAATTATAATAGAAAATGGGCCCCCAAAATGAAGAAACATCTTGAGGCAGAAGCATTAATAACTAGAAAAAAATTTGAAGGGATTCTTAAACTCACTGAATTAGGCAATTGCATATTAAAACATCAGTGAGCTACCATTTTACACCCACTGGAATAGCTGAAGTCAGAAAGTTCAATAATTTTAAGTGTTAGTGAGGTTATAAGGCGGGAGAAACTCCCACGCATTGATGGTAAAAGAATAATTCATAAGTACTGGCAGTACTTGGTGAATTTATGTCCACCTGTGCCTCATGCACCAAAACAAATTATAGCACAACACTGTTTGTATGAATATAAAAGACAAATACACACAAAACTTAATATTTTACAAAGGAAAATACATATTTAAGAACGTATATCTATCATATAAATGTGGATGCCAATGGTTGAGAGGAAGTGGGGAATGGAATGAGAAAAATAAAAATAGAGTAAAATGAAGCAAGAGGGAAATACTACCCCAGCCTATGATGACAATGTGTTATGAACTGAGAGTTATGATCAACTTAACTCTGCTTCATGATGAAGAAACAAGAAAGCAATGCACTTTGTTTTCTAGGCATGTTTAGGATTGTTTATGAGGCAAGAAGATCGAAAGAACAAGGGTCAGAAACCTAAGTGTGAATCCTGGCTCTGCAATTTCCTAGTTTTAGTAAGCCCTTCAGCACTGTGTCTCACAAATAGCTTTGTTAAGACTGTTGAGCATTTATTATTAGACCCAATTTTTAATTAAAGAAAAGCAAAGCTCAGAAAGATCCATCGACCTGCCTTTTGCCCTGCGTATAGTCTTTGGTGAAACTGGAGCTTCTGACAGCTTTAAACTCCACTGCCCTACAGGTTGAACCACAAGAAATGAATGCAAGACGAACACTCTGTACCCACGAAAATGACTGCTTCATATGGCTTACCCTAAAATGTAAATGTGTTTCTTCTTGTGTTAAACAATGAAAGGTTTGCTAATTTAACTCTATGAAATAAGGAAGGAAACATCAGCAGGGAAATACCAACAGATGAACATTTATACTGCTAACTAAAATTTTGTAAAATTCAACAGTGCTGAATGAGATTATCTTAACGCTATAGTAGAGCACTGAGTTCTTAGGTACCGTGGGCTCCAAGTGGCTTTCTTGAAAAAAGTTCCCCTACTAAATAGCTAGAAATAAACCTAAAGAAAGAAAATAATTCTTGTACCTCAGGAGAACCATATAGCCAGGTATGGCAGATAAGGAATAAATGAAACTGCTGACCACCGACAAGATTAAAAAGTACTGGAGCATCATGGAACAGTCACGTCCTTTGTCACATAGCCCAAGGTGTGCGGATGAATTTCCTGGTGTTTGAATGCAGCTACAATTTTGAAACATCTGTCAAAAAATAACATATTATCCTATTTGAGGAAGGAAATCTTGAACACAAATCTCAAATATTTATTACATCACCAATTGGATCAAGATGGAGACTTTATTCACTTTATTCTCACATCCTTTATGGTGTCTCTCAGGATTATAGTCGGAAACAAAACAAAAGTGTGGTTTCTGAAAAATAGAATTTCTTCCTAAATATACTGAGTAAATTTGCAACAGCTCAGCTCTCCTCAAGTCATGCTTTTGAAAAACATATACTGTCTTGCCACACGCTGAATATGAGAAAATTTGCTTCATGGTGCTCAGTTTAAATATATAGATATTTATCAATAAACAAAGATTTGTTTAAAAAATATGTAGTTTATTTTAAAAGCAGAATAAAGTCAACCCTTTTTGAATTCTTATGTTCCCAGGTTTTAATAAGAATCAAAATTTATATTTTATTTTCATCACCAACCAACATTATAAGTGATATTTTAAGGCAAGAAAACATGCCCAATTCCATCTTCTTAGAAAGCTGTCAGAATGTGAAAAACACAGACAGCACATGTGTTTTTATACACAGGAAAAAAAAAAAACTAGCAAAGTAATTAGCTGGGTACTTGAGATCGAAACTGCCAAATTGATCTCGGTTTAAAGTACTTTTAAATAAAATTAATTAAGCAATCATGTCAACTGCTATGGAGTTAAAGCTCAGTACACAGACACCGTGCAGCTTTAAAATAAGATCTAGGAAATAACAGGTAAACCAAGTGAGCATATAAAAAGTAACTTATTTTGGTAATAAAGGCCAATAGGATGTGTTACCATGTTTATTCCTGTTCCGGAGGACGTCTCACAACCAGCAAGACAAGCTGACATATACGACAAACCATTGTTTCCACATACTGGGTCCCATATTTTAGTTGGGCAGTTGCAATTCATGTTACAGTCAGCAAGGATAGTTCCCACATGGAAATCCTGTTGCATTCTGAAATGATTTAAAATAATGCCGTGGGTATTGAAAGAATATTAGAGCATTTTCCTTTTCTTTTCATTTCAATCTGCAGTTGTATTTCCTCTGCTCCCTCAAATGGAAACAGAAATCTTCCAGTTGTCAACGTGTGGCCTGGGTACCATAGCTCTGGCATAAGAGACACCAGTTGCTGTGCTCGTAGCCACTTTTTCAGTGATTTCTTTAAGGTAAACACACAGCCACTGAACCACTGGGGGTCAGAAGAAGGCGGGCGGGACTGACAGCAATCAGCTTTAGATGTCGGCAGACTGTGTTCCTGCTTGCAGCAGCATCCAAGCAGAGATCCCAGCCAGTGCCCCTGCCCATCTGCAGGGCTGAGCCATGGCCCCCCTCTGGCCAGAGTTCAGTTGGCAGTTATGCCTGATTTGGGTCTCCAGTCGACCATCCATACTAGCCGTGGAGCTCTGCTCACCTGCTGAGCAGAGTCTCCAGTTCTACCCACCCAGAAGGCCTGGCCAGAGAACCTGGGCAACCAGAGAGCCCATCCTACAGCCACACAAGACCCCGGATAGTCAAATAGTCAAGGGAATCTTGAGAAAGAAGAATAAAACTGTAGATAATCACATTTCCTGATTTCAAACCTTATTACAAAGTTGTATCACCAAAAACAGTATGGTACAAGCATAAAAACAGTCACATAGAACAGAATAGAAAGCCCAGAAAAACACTCATGCATACATGTCAATTAATTTACAACAAAAGAGCCAAGAATATATACAGTGGGGTTGAAAAAGTCTCTTCATAAATGGTGGAGGGAACACCAGCCAGACAGCCACGTGCAAAAGAATACTGGATACTTATCTTACACCACACACAGAAATTAACTCCAACTGATTAAGATTTAAATTTAAGACGTGGAACAATGAAACTCTTAGAAGAAATCATTAGGGGTAAGCTCTTTGACTTCAGCCTTGGCAATGATTTTTTTGGATTTTCTTATGCTCAGTGTAATGTAATGGAAAGAGCCATAGAGAGGGAGTCTAGAGACCACATTAAAGTCCTGACTCATAACTAGATTATGCCTTTTTACACATCTGCTCTGGGAATCAGGATAATTGGAGATGGAGATAATCTTTAAGATTTTACCAATTTTAATTTTATTTTTCTAAACTGATGGAGTTGAAGGGGTGTTCCATGACCTCCCTTGGTCATTTAATCCCTGTGAATCTGAATTTCTTCATCTGTAAAATGGAAAAAACAACACCTATCTTAAATGAAATTTGTAAGACTCAAATCAGATAATATATAAAATTACTTTTATGATTATATATTTAATATTATTCCAATTGCTTAGTCCTCAACAATGTGAAAGGGAACATTGTAGGATGCTCTTCATTTCATTTTAACCGATGACTTCAATACCTACATATACCCTACAGATGAATTTTTAAAATTCACGTCTATATGAAAAACTTTCCTGTGAATCCAGATAACTCTCAAAATGGAAATCTGAAACTATTCAAGATATAGACACATTTATACGAATAAAATATATAAATTTATGTAAGAATTGCTATATCATGTATTAGGGTTCAGTTTTGTTAAATTTAAGCCCATTGTGGAAACATGTAAAGGTAACTGAGATTCTACAGTTAACTTGAAATTTTACCAATATGTGAGAGTGTAAAATAAATAGATAACACATCCTAATATAACCTAAAAACATAGTTTCTTCACTCTACTATCTGCTACGATATCACAAAGACAAACACACACACAAGCAATCACAAACTCACTGACTCGGTGACATATCCCCAACCTCTATAAGAAGATAGAGAAGGAATACAGATTACTGCCATTAAGTTCAATTAGCAAATGATCTGGTCATGTATAATTACTGCAGAAAATGTTATTAAATGTTGAAAGAGAACAACGTTTATTAGAAAACAACATACCCTTCATAAGAGGTGGTTATGCCAGCCACGGAGGAATTATCACAAATCATGAGAAAACACAAAAAATAGAGAAGATATTCAAATAAAGATAACCAGCATCCTATGTGGGCAGCTTGTACGACAGTAATCTTGAACTTCTTCATAATTAAACCGCCAACTATATATCCGATGCATATTGGAGGTAAGTTATAAATACCTACAAATGCAAGTAAAGTATTACGTACAAAGTGACTTAGCAAAGGCGCAAAAGTGATGTCACATTTATCTAGTATGTCTTACACAAGCAACCACTTAGGTCCAACTCACAGTGGAGAAAACTGATTTAAATTTATTCCCACTTAGTTACATGTCACATACAGAGATATTTGAACGCCTCACAACATCAAAGTACATTTTGGAAGACTTTTATCATTCATGTAATTAATAGCAGTAGAGTGTAAATTTCTCATATGCAGGGTTCATGGTCTATGTCTCTTTTCTTAGGATCCAGGTAGAAGTAACAAGTCAAAGTTGACTAGTCATTTATTACTTTTCATTCTTTGGAGTGGGATTATGTATATAATGATTTGTATATAATGTATATCATATAATCAGATAGAGTATGATTTGTATGATTTTGCAGCTGTTTATTCCCACTGTGGTTGTCAAGAAATTTGACTCAGCTCAAGGTACTTTAGAGGTACTTTGAGAAACCTGTGATTGTTAAGCGTCTTTACATTTCATATTTTGCTGCTACTGACTAGTACTCTCTCTCCCCTAATCCTGCCCCCCCAAAAGGGGGAGGGGAAGGGAAAAGAGAGTCCTGTGTTTCATTCTTACCATGCCAGGATTTGCTCAACGAATCCCATTCTTAGGAGAGATTGTTTAAAACCCACTTCCAAGTCCCATACCAGAGAGTCTAATCTAATCTGTCTGAGGTGGGTCCCAGGTATGTGAACTTTTAACAAACTGTAAAAGGTGTGTGAGTGTAAGTAGTGTGAGTACGTGTAATCTGGAAATTCTCTTCTCAGAACAGTAAAAGAAAAAAAAAAAACCAAGAGAAACTCAGGGTGAAGTAGACCCCCTGGGGTTAGTGTGGTGGCAGGAAAATCAGAATGTATGGGATGCAGAGATGTCTCAAAACACCGGGGGGGAAGGGGGGTAGAGAATAGAGTTAGAAACCATGGAATTCATGAATTGGAGCCAAAAAAGGTAAAATCTGAGAGTGAAACACAACTCCTAATGAGTTAACTCTGTCTTGCTTTTTTACATGAATGAATTGCCAATCTGAAAACTGTATCTAATTTGGGAGTTCCCCAAGATTTCCTCAAATATTTTGAATTTGCATTCTGACTGGAGAGAGAGACAAAGCGAGGAGAAAACCAGGATTTTCTGGCTTCTTCCCTTCCCTGCCATCTCTTGAGTTCCCTGGAGAGCAGAAGGGGGAAAAGTACCAGAGACAGAAATATCTTAATAGATTTCAATTGAGGAATTTCCCAGACCCATCGTCACAGTATTCGCCATTTCATGGGGGGTAAAAAAAGGGGGTACCAATGCAGAGACGAGCAAACATACCAATTAGAAAGATTGCATCTGAGGCTGATTTTCCATAGTGCTGTTCCAGATACTTAGGCATGAAGGAGATCATACTGACAAATGCATTGAACTGTAGCACACTTATCAGTATGAAAAGCATGTAAACTGGGTTGCATAAAAGACTTTTCATGAATGGTAAAAAATCTGAAAAGAAAGAATGACAATAGTGTCAAACGAACTTGGCTTTGCATTTTTCGATGGACTTTTCCTGAAACATCAACCTCCCCTCCAAATGATGGTTTTATGTTTTATAATGCACGTGTGTTTCTTAATTCTTTTCACCCCTCAAAAGCTAAAGTTGTATCATTGCTTTGGTAGTGATGTGGCTGACAGGGTAGGGATCAGAACACAATCGCTTTGCCTTCACCAAGTTACCGTCATGTCTTAAAGAAAAAGTACAACATGACCAAAATGTTGTCCGAGTTCACACCATTTCCTTTCATCCTTCTCTTTTCCTTCTATTAATATCTTCTCTTCTCTAGAGGTCATCTAGAATGAAAGGTGCTTGTTCTCTTATTCTGTTCTCTAAAGCCAGGAAGGAAATCAATTTGATAAAGAAGTTCACATTGAAATATTGATAATATCACTCCTGAGCATTTAAAATGAAGATACATGTGGGAATTCATGGGATATAAATTTTCTCAAGTAGTAGGCACTTCTCTGCTTCTCTAGAACAACAGTTTTGGTGGTTCTGCCAATGGTGCACAGTCTTTTAAAATACCAACCTCCAGGCTTCTCTCCCTGAGACCCTGATTTATTTGATAAAGACTAAGGACTATGTAAAAGATTTAACCAAAACGTTTTCCTCTTTGGGTGAACTGACAAAGCTCGGAGCCAAATTTGTGGCCCGTCTCTAGCAAAAGTTTTGGGTCAAAATGTCTCCATTGTGGGTCAAAGTCTTACTGATAGTTTCTTTTCACTTTTCTTATCTTCATGTTCTCTGTCTTGATTTCCTTAGTTATTGTGTATTATCCTGGTTTGCTTAATAGCTGTCTACTATTCATTCTAGAACAAAGTATCAAAAAATAAACAAATTGGAAAGGAGAAATCATAGCTTAACTCAAAGAAATGAACTCTAGTAGAATTCATATTTATCAATAAAGTACACAGCCAGGGAGAAAAGTTGTGTTCAGAGCTTCTTGGAGCTGTTTAAGGCACCCATGTTTGTTGACATCCTCACCTAATAGGTGAGTCCCATTAACTTCAGTGTCGTTTCTACATGCCTTATACCAAGCCCTTTCCTAGTCTTGAGAATTGATCTTACAGCCTGCAAACAACAGTCTGTGTTAAAATCCTCTATCAGTCTATACCAGCCCTTTGACAAGCGTCGTGAATATAATCGTAACGACTCAGAATTTGTAAGATTCTGAATGGCTCCTAAAGATCCGAGAAGTGTCAAATTACGTCCAATTGTTGTTTAAGTGAATTTGTAATTGCTAAGATTTCTGGGCAAATTGGTATTACAATTTACAGGTGATGGGGGAAGTAGCAACATCCACAATAATAATACTAAAACCAGGAAGCAGTTAATAGTTGTCCTATGTGTTAGGGCTCCTTCTACCCTCACACAGCAACTCTATAGTCATAAATAAATAGTATGTCCCCATCTTACAGAGCAGGAAACTGACCCTCCACCACCTTCCAAAAGAACACTCTTTAAGGGCCAGCCCATACTTCATACTAAATACACCAGACCTCTAGGGAACACTACAGAGTTGCAGGCATCAGTCACTTTAGAACTTTCCAAGGTGATGTCACTAGCTGGCCCAGGTTGAGAATGAGTGTTCTTGAAAACGAATACACAGACAACCTTAGCTTAGTTTCTCACAGAAACACCTTCTGTCAACTATGCTTTGGAGCTTTCATTGAGGATCTATACAAAAAACAAACCCCAAATCTGTTCTATGAAACATGCTCCTGCATTGGCTGGAAAACCACTATGTGATGCAATAGGCCCCATACGTCATATGATAATTTTTTTCTTTTTTTACAATTTGTTACTTGGAGAACGGTTCCTTTTTCAGAACTGTTATCCTTTCCTGTCTATCAAATGTAGAGAATTATATGACATTTTGTGTTTTCTTTTTCTACCTTAACCTCTGAGACACTCACAGCTAAGCCAACATTTTTGGTTTCAGAACCAAATCATACCTATTTTGAATAGCATATATATTTTTCTTCCTTTCTTTCTTGGTTTGAATTTCTTTTTTAATTAGACCTATGCTGCCTATAAGAGATTTTTTTTAAGGCTAATGGGATCAAATTTATTTATTTATTTACTTACTTACTTATTGAGTGCCCAGATTGACATATAATTTTATATCAATGCTGATCTGAGATAATTCAGCCTCTAACTTATATGGTTTATTTCCATGGAGTAGCATAGGAGGAATCAGACTAGCCAGACATTATTGACTGCTGACTGTTAATGACAAATTGCCTTAAGGCAGCCTAGCATATTGAAATGTTAGATTAAAATACAGACACATCTATAGCAACCAAAAGGTAAATTATGTAGAATTTAAAATGTTTATATTTGCCTTTAGTGATTGCATCCCTCTTTTTCTTGCCATCGCTTTGTTTCTCTTCTTTGTCATTTGTGACGGTCTCAGTGTTATTCTCCACTCCTTCCTTTGGAAGCGTTTTGGGCAAAAAGAAAAAAGGAATGGCAGTGAGCACATTCACTCCTGCACAAACCAAAAAGCCAAACCACCATGCACCAACCCAACGAGTATCAGTGGGGGTTATGGTCAGAGCATCTGTAAAGAGATACACACATATTTTATTAGCTTAAGTCATTGCTTCTTGTATGAACAATACAAAATTGTTAAAATTATAATTGTCAGGTTCTATCCAAGTATGAAATTGATACATAATTCAGACACTGATAAAACTTCTCTGACAATAAGTGATATTACACTATTGTCTAGCGATAAATGAGTTTGACTATCTGTCCTATCGTGTAAGGAATTTATAAAAAGGTATTTATTAAATAACTACAAGATCTATTTCGCTATCCACAAATGATTGCTTATACTAAAAAAAAATTTCAAACCTATATGCTTAATTCTTTTGAAAACAAGAAATGCTATTTTGGTGCAGTAGAAAGAGCACTGGATTTTGAGTCAGAAGATCAGCATTTTATCTTGCTCTCCTGCTCCCTGGTTTGAAACACTGAAAATTATTTAAATGCCTTCACTTCAGTTTGGTCACCTGGAAAGTGGAAATAATCTATGTAGCTGTGTAAAGTAACAATTAAATGTGATAACATACCTGAAGATGCTTTAGACAGCTAATAAATAGATTTTTTTGAGTTACCTGTTTTCACAGATCCAGTGTCAACATAAATATTTGCACAGAACGATGCTAATGAGAGTCCAATCAAAGGACCAATGATCGCTCCTGTTTCTATAAACCCTAAAAATAAAGGAAAATATAAAGTTATATATAGTTTATACATCCACATACAGAGTTCTAATCCCATGGAGAGTTTGAAGATTGAATTGTTTTTACCTTAGACTTTTTTGTACTCAATCTGTACTGAATGTATTTGATCTGTAAGAAAATTAAGCTTGGTGTATGTATAAATAGCAAGGCTGTTTCTTTAAATGTTGCAAAAAGAGCCCCATCGTTTGAAGCCACTTTCTCTAGGGCTCCAAATTCTCTCTCACGCCGGGTTACAGGTAAAGATGTGCTGTAGTAGCGTAAGCTGGGATCTTGTTATTGACAAAGCTACAACACAGAGCACAATTCTTGCGATGCCTTCCATAGTCATACTTTTAGAGGAATTTTAAAGCAAACCATGTTATGATAAATTCCTTGTGGCATATTCCTCAGAAAAGCTTCACTCCCAGATCTGCAGCTGGAAACCTCCTCTGGCTCTGTCCTCACCATTGCTGATAATTCTCTTCCCTCTTCTCACCATCTTCTTTCTCAGCCTCATCCTTCTCTTCCAATTCCATCAGTCTCCTCTGTCCTCGCCGGACTCGTTACTCATCTGGACTGTTAGCATCAGCTATCTCGTGACTCGTCTAGACCTCTGACTCTATGCTGAGCTCTCTCCACTTACTGAAAATCCAGGCATGAGCTTCTTCAACTTTCTTCCTCTTTACTTCAAAATGTATCTTCTTCTATTGCCTCTGCCTTCTCCACGGTTCTAGAGGCTAGTCCAACTGGCACACACCTGACTTCTTGATGCTAATCCTTTCTGTCTTCTCTGAGGTCTTGCTCAGCCAAACGCTCCCTCTTGTGTACTTGTCCAGTCGCCCCCATCCACTGATTTCTACAATGTCTCAAATCCACGCTGATTTCTTTCCTGTCATTACATTTGCCTTCGCTGCCTCTCCACTCACCCACTCCACTCGAATCCTTTCACATTCTACTCAAAATTCTCTCCGATAGCCCCCGTGATCTCTTTGCCACTTATCCAGTGTCCTTCTGTGGTCTTCATCCTCTTAACTGGCCAAGTTTCTTTTGACATTTTCCTCCTAAGTCCCCCGAACTTACACGTTCATTTATTGTTTTATTTTTTCCCTTATGACGGCCCCTTCTTTGAAATTTCTCCTTTCTACTCTGCTACTTAAGTAGAAGTGTTCCCTAGTATTTTATTCTAGGATCTCTCACTGTATGGTATATGACCTCCCATAGCAACCTTATTTCTCCCTCTTCATTTTAGTTATTGTCTCTGTATAGGTGATCCTGAAAGTTTGTCTAGTTTTTATGTTATCTCCTAAAACACCAAACTGTGTTCTTGATGTGTAGCTAATTGATTTATAGTTATTTAATTAGACACAGACATACCTACTTATTTCATTTTCCCCTAAATTTCATGTAATCTTTCAACTTTAATTATATACACATATTTATCAAATTTTATTGATTTATAATTATGTAGTTACTTATATACTAAACCTTATATGGACCATGTCTTATTCATCTTAGGACATATAGAGATGATCACAGTTGTTTCTATATATTATATACTGTTATATTTGTTTAAGAAAGTAACACATGTTATAACAAGATGTTTGTTAATCTCTAGCAGGTAAGCATTTTGTAGTCTTTCAGTATAAGTATGTGAAGGGATTTGAAAGAACTGAAATAGAAAAACACTGAAAAAGATTATTGCCAAATAATCAAAAATTACCAAAAGTTGCTTGAGGTAATTGTTCCTAAATATTTTAATCTCATTATGTGCAGCTCCATTCCTGTCTTCTATCACCCTCTTTGACTTTTCTGGTTTTAAAAACATTACATTAACAGTAAACGTGTTACATTAACAGCAAAATGTCTCTGTGTTCAAAGTTATGATTATGTAACCAATAACAGATGGAGTAACTAAAGATATAAGCAAGTTATACATATTAAATTGAGAATATTTAGGAGATTGCAAGACAACATACAAAGGTGGATCTTATGTTGCCTGTTGTGGGAGGTATTGATAGATTTTAGAAAAGGAAACTTCAGGAAACGTAACAAAAAGTATGAAGACAGATATTTGTGAAAAATATGAAACAATCTGTTGTTATAGAGAAACTTTTAAGAAAACTAAATAGATACATTGACTGCAGCTATGGGTAATAAGTGGGGAGCTCACATTTAATAAATAAAGACTCAGTACGTTTCATGAGCATGATAGAGAAGACATAAAATGTTTGAGAAAAGTTATACTGTGAAAATGGTTATAAGAAATTGATTAAAAACACTAGATATAAACTGACCAATAAAGAAGTTATAATAATCTACAGGTGAAGCAATGAAGACCTGAACAAAAATAGAGGTCATGAAAATAGTGAGTTTTAAATATGAGACATTTTAGAGAAAACATTGGTAAATCTCTTAACAGATTGAGTATAGAGTGGTGCCAAGGGAAATGGGGGAGTCAAATAGAACTCCAGGGTCACTAGATTAATAGTATTTTCAGTAGTAAAAAGCAGATTTAGCAATGTGGCCTACTTGGAGGTTAGCCTGTAATTGCTTCATTCAACTGACTTTAACTGATGGCCAGCTGTGCCAAAGCTCTCTGATTATCATTCTGGAAATCGCTGAGTTTAAACAAAGAACCAATATCCACCCTCAAGGAATTTACTGTCCCGGAAAGAGGCTAAGGCAGATTTTCCAACTCACCAATATATAAAGGAGAGTTTTCAGATTTGGCAAAATCTTCTATGTAGGAAATACCCAAAGGCATGATGGGAGTTTCACCAATTCCACGTATAATATTTCCAACCAGTACATACACCCACATTAATGATTTAACTTCCTTCACACACTCTGCATCAAAAGCAAAAAAAGACATGGCATTAGTGTTTTGATAGTGAAGTATTAGCAATACTTAATTCTGAGTTTTTGGTAAGCATTTCACAGTTCTTATGTGAGCACGGCACCTTGCCAACAATGCATATTACTATTCTGGCCGTGACTCACTCATCGGGCCAGTCCTCTTGCATTGTGGGGCACAGTCTTAGATATGGCCGACAGTCAGCGGTGTGCTAGGGCCCGTTTCTACTGGGCTGGGAGAGCTGAGTATACGCATCTCTTCCCAGTTCGGTGTTTAGTGATAACATATGGGAAGTTTGATGGGGGGTATTTATACCACTGACTAACACTGAAACTCAGGGCTTTTCTTTTCCCTGCAGAGAGCTAATTTACCACCAACTATTAAACTCAGTTAGCTGCTGTAAGTGCTATCCTATTTATGTACCAACTTTGGAAATAGGGAAAAAAACCGTAAATATCCTTCCCTAGAACTGACACTGTATTTGTAAGATTTGAATGAGTCTCACTGGATTTTGAATTCTCTGCAGTTCTAATTGCTTTATAGAAACTAAAAATATTTCATATTTTCTCTATAGAGCCTACTATATACTGTTACCACCGAATAACTTTAAAAAAAAAATCAGAGTAAGTGACTTACACTATTATTTTAGTTTCAGGTATACGACACAGTGATTCAATATTTTTTTAGATTATACTCCATGTAAAGTTATTATAAGATATGGGCTATATTCCCTGTGTTGCACATTACATCCTTTGATCTTATTTACTTTATCCCTAGTAGTTTGTACCTCTAAACCCCCTTCCCCTTTCTTCCCCCTCCCACCCCTCTCCCCACTGGTAACTACCAGTTTGTTCTCTGTATCTGTGAGTCTGTTTCTGTTTTGTTATACTCATTCATTTGTTTTATTTTTTTACATTCCACATAAAAGTGAAAACATACAGTATTTCTCTTTCTCTGACTTATTTTACTAAGCATAATACTCTCCATGTTCAAATATGTTGTTGCAAATGGAAAAATTTCATTCTTTTATATGGCGGAGTAATATTCCATTGTGTGTGTGTGTATTACATCTTCTTTATTCATTCATCTGTTGATAGACACTTAGGTTACCTCCATATCTTGGCTATTATAAACATGCCACTGTGAGCATTGGAGTGCATATATCTTTTTAAATTAGTGTTTTTGTTTTCTTCAGATATATATATCCAGGAGAAGAATTGCTGGATCCTATGGTAGTTCTATTCTGAATTTTCTGAGGACCCTCCATACTGCTTTCCACAGTGGCTGCACCAATTTACATTCCCAGCAACAGGGTACAAGGGTTGCCTTTCCTCCACATCCTAGCCAATGCTTGTTATTTGTCGTCATTTTGATGCCAGCCATCCTGGCAGGTGTGAAATTGTATTTCATTGTGTTTTTTGATTTGCATTTCCCAGATGATTAGTAAGCTGCACCACCCACAGATGTGAGGGTCCTGAGCACAGCTGGGTCTGGAAATTTCTTGTGAGGCCATCTCACAGTCATTCTCCATCCAGAAAAGTCATAGTTTCCATTTCTGGGTATTCACATTTTTATCTATGGTGAGCACAATTATTTGTGTCTAGAGATCATAGGCAAACCCGAAGTTTCCTTTAGAACAAAACTGAAAATATCAGGTTATCAAGGAACCAACACATTTTCCTGGAGATACACCAGCCTGGGAAGGTTTTGTTTATCTACTACAATGCACATTAAAAGAAATAGGAAATAAGACTTGAGTTAGTTTTGGCAAAAGCCAGCTCAAGGAGAGAACACAGGCCCTTGTTGATGTCCCAGTTTTCCTTTGTTTCCCCAGGAGTTTCCTTTGGGTTAGAATTTCTGAGGCAGTTATTCTTAAATTCTTTTCAACTGTTTTGGTTCCCTCCGATTCCATGCTGGCAGTGAAAGCCCCAACTTTGGGGACCATCGTAACTTTCAGTAATACGAATCCAGCATAGAAATGTCCCTGGCACAGGAGAAAAAAATGTTCTGGTCTGAGATAAATCAACAGGGTCACCTCCAGACTAAGTATTTCAAGATTATATAGGTCCCCAAGCACACGAAGGGGCGGAGGCAGGAATGTTGGTGCTGGGATGGCAGGAAGCTGGAAGAAGTACCACTGCTGAGTTGGACTGTGAAGTAGCATCTCAGGTAAAGAGGGAGAAGTGGGGCAGAAAGACAAGTTCCTAGTTCAGCAGAAAGAGAGGAGAGCGAATCAGAACTCCAGCATCCTCGCCTGCTTTCTCTGCTATAGAATGTCAGTCATATAGCACAAATCGTTTGAACTTTGTTTCTGCATCAATTTCCTGTTTTGATAATTGTATAGACCAGATCATCAGCAGAGACCCATCCTTCTAAAATATTTTCCTCTGTGGAATTAACTCCGCAGTGGTCCTTGGATGGGTGTCTTTGACTTATTTTTAAATGACCGTTTAAAAAAGTAGACAAGGCAACCTTAATAAGTACATTCAAATAAAGAGGAATAACATTCTGTGTTATTTGCCATTCCTGTTTCCCCACCACGATCCCCTCTAAAATCCCTGAGGGAAAAAAGTATGTTTTTGTTTATTTACGTTACTTAACCAAACCCAACAAGTCATTCGGAGCCCCTCCACAGAAAGTATTGAGTTACAAATCAACTAAAGCCAAAAAATGAAGTAGGCAGACAACCTGGATTCTCTGTTGGTTTGAAAATCTTCTGGGTTCCATTTTCCATACACAAGAAACTCTTTGAGGACAAATTGTCTGCAACTGAAACTGTAGATTCATATTCATATCTGTGTGAACAGAGGGAAGACATGTTTATGTCAGGGAGCCAACGAGGACAGTGTGAACATTGTGAAGACATTAACTCCTGCTTCGCTTAAGACACAACAGCCAAACTCAGTAAAGCGGACATCTTTCCAGCTTTGCCACCTAATCACCAGAGATTGACATCATCAGCAGTAAACTTGCCACTCACTGTAAATGTGCTATTCATTGACCACTTGCTTTTAATTATCTATATGTGTATGACCTACCTTTTAGATTATATACTATCAACCTTCTGTGGTATTTTAGGTGATTGTGTCCTGGAAATAATTACTGTGGGATAAGGAACAAAAACTAAGAAAAGTAATAGACTCTACAAAGTATAATTAAGAAGATAAAGGCTTCGGGGGGAAAAACAACACAACAAAACAGCTCTCCAATGTGGGCTTCTCTGAGGTTTGCTTATAAAGAAATACACCCCCCCTTTCTGAGAATTCAGACAATAATCTCTTAACGCATTCATCAGTCCTCGAGAAAAACAAGACATCTGCCCTTCGTAATGAGAGACTTCTGGAAACTCAAACACTGTGACAGTGCCATGTGATGACTTTCTCTCTTCTCATAAGAACAAAAGGGTTAACAGATTGTGACTAGGTACCTTAGGTAAATTACCACAAAATTCATATGCCCTTTCTCAGAAGGTAAATTACAAGCTGCAATAATGGAAGAAAATTGGCCCAGATAAGTCTCTCTTTGTTAGAAATTATGCTAGCTTGGTTTCTATATTTCTATTAGATAAGAAAAAGCCAAACAAAACAAAACAAAACAAAACACATACACACAAACCCAAAAAAACCTAGCCCTTCTGAGTTCCAAATGGGCTAAAGGATATTATACTTGGAGGTCACTAATAGTTCTAATTTCTGTGCAATAGAGCATAATATAAAGGGTCAAAATAACTTCCCCTTAGAGCAACTGCCCAGTCATGCCCATACAGTTCGGCTGTGAAGTGTGGACAAGGCTTCCATCTCCATACCTATGATCCCATGAGATATGCCAGCTTCAGACAAAAAATGTAACCTTTGGCAGAGGGTGGAAGAAAGATAAAGAACAGCTGAATATTACTTGATGTTGTCTTAGGATAGGAAATAAAAAAGACGGTAATAACTCCTTGCCTGGAAACTTCTGATTGCTTCAGAAATATCTAAGAAGATAACATATCTTTTTCATTTAATTTATCCATTAAAGCCCAAGAACTCATTCGAAGTCCATTCATCCCCAAACGATCAGCAAAATGACAGTTCATGGATTTTAAAATGGAAACGGAAAAGGCTTATAAGGGTATTAAGCAAGAGAAAAATCTACGTATTGAAAAGTGAGGTTCCCACTCCCACCTGGCTAGTAGCTAAGTTTCCATGTCTCAGGCAACAGATTGGAGAATCCCTGCCTGGGATAACTGACAGGTGATGGGCAGTTCCGCACCATCTATAAATTATCCAGTCCCTGTGCTGTGAAGAAGTCCTCCATTAACCAAGTCCCACACATGTACAGACACCTTCTGGTTAGCTTGGTGTTGTTATTCCTCTCTCTTAAATGTGAAGAGCTAATCAAGAACCATGGGATATATGAAGGAAGCCTATCACATAAAGAGAGACAAAGCAAATAAAAAAAAGCATACATTTGAAGGAGACAGAGACATGACGACGGATGAAGAAAATGTAGCTGGACAAAGCCATTGCATTCTTGAAGTAAGCAAGATGTTCCTTAAAAAGATACATTCAAAGAACAAGAGTCCTTGAAAATTAAAAATATGATAGCAAAAATTAGAAATCCATTCAAAGGTTTGGAAGATAAAGTTAAAGAAATCTCCTCCTTCCAAAATAACAAGAAGACAAAGCGAAAGAAAATAAGCTAGAAACGATGAGAAAAATAGAAGTTTAATTCAGGATGTAACAATATTCAAGAACTAGTCAAAGTTCTAGAAAGAAAGAATAGACGGGGAGAGGTGGATGGATATTATCAAAGAGAATACAAGGAACTTTTACAAATGTCCAGATTGAAGGCACTGAGTAAAATAGAGGAAAGGGATTTATACCGAGACAATTATAAAAATTCAGACTCAAGTTTAAAGAAAACCCCAGTATCTGTCAGAGAAAAGAAACCTGTCACAAGGGTTAGAATGACATAAGATTTTCAACAGTAACACTAGATGCTAGAAAACACTGGGAACAATGTCTTAATTCCTACAAAAAACACGTCAAACTAGACCTTTATACCAGTCAAACTATCAATTCAAGTGTGGGATAGAAGAGGAATACTTTCAGATGTTCAAGGTCTTAAACCTTTTAATTCCCTTACACACTTTCTCAGAAACCTATTAGATTATGTTTTCTGCAGAAAGGAGTAAGAGTAAAAAGGAAAGCAGAAGTTGTGATATCCAGGAAATAAGTTACTGAATGGAAGAAAGAGGCAAAAAAAACCCAAGGAGAAGAATGAGTGAAAATTTAAAGGAAGCAGCCCTGCGGGGGGCCTGGAAGGCTCCCAGTTCAGATGGCAGACGGAGAATTGATGGTGAAATGGAGAATTGATGGAGAGGTATCTCAAAGACAAAGGTGAACCCTCTGAAATAATATATGAGGATACTGAAAAGACATTGTCCTGCCAGTAGAGAGTTCGGTGATGATTAGTAAGAAATAAAAAGGAAATGAATCAAATAAAAAAATGAGGCAATATTAAATCCAGGGAAAATAAAAAGTAAAATAAGAAAGGAATAATAACAGCTGAAATATGAAATACATTTATGTAGTCACACACATGGGATAGTAAATATGATTTTATAGTAGGAAGTCAATATATATATAACGTAACACTAAAGTACCAAAAACGAAAAGAGTTAACATTTACTTAGAAAAATGGAAACAAATAGCTGAAGAAAGAGCTAAAAGGGCTGGGGGGGCCTCTGGAAAGCCATAATACGAGCAATGTCGAAGGGGCAGGGGGAAACTCTTTTTTTCTTTCCATGTAAGTCTTTCAGTATAATTTTATTTTTCACAGATTTGCACACACACTACTTTCATAAAAACTAAAAATCAACCTTCAGACAGGTCTGTCTCTTGATGACCTCTAATTAAACAGAGACTCAACTGTAATTAGAAGTGTCTTAGAAAATTAATCCTTAGAAAGGGGTAATCCTAAATTTTGCCTGGTCCTAAGAATCTTTTCATCAGATCAACTCCATGAAAGACTTGTCCTAAATTCCTGTTTTGTAAAATTGACCTGTAAGTGGAGACCAGACAGCCAAGAGCACAAAACAGGCGTGTGGAACACAACCTGTACCTGGCAGTTCCCCTTACAGTGCTCAGTGCCTTTAGAGGCATCGTTTCTACATCGATTGAGATGATCATGTGGTTTTTGTCCTTTCTCTTGTTGATGTGATGTATTACATTGATTGATTTGCATATGTTGAACCAGCCTTGTGTCCCTGGGATGAACCCCACTTGATCATGATGTATAATCTTTTTTATGTGTTGTTGGATTCTATTTGCTAAAATTTTGGTGAGGATTTTGGCGTCTATGTTCATCAGTGATATTGGCCTATAATTCTCTTTTTGTAGTGTCTTTGCCTGGTTTTGGTATCAGGGTGATGGTGGCTTCATAGAATGAGTTTGGGAGTATTCCCTCCTTTTCAATCGTCTGGAAGAGTTTGAGAAGGACTGGTATGAGTTCTTCTTTGTATGTTTGGTAGAATTCCCCGGTGAAGCCGTCCGGTCCTGGACTTTTATTTGTAGGGAGGTTTTTAATTGCTATTTCTATTTCCTTTCTAGTGATCGGATTGTTCAAGAGAGGCATCGTTTCTAGAAAGGAAATCCAAATTTCGTTTCCTGCAGCTGAAAGCTGCACCTAAAAAGTCATCAGAAACTGCGGTACTTACCGGTTCATGAGGAAATGAGGTAGTGACTGTAAGAAACACCCTAGGCCCATAACCACACATCCAATACCAATCATTATGGGTCTATGCAGTTTAGTTCCAAAGTAACTCACAAATATAATCAGCAAAAGATTTCCTAGGGAAAAATTGAGATGAAAAGATGAATATTTCAGTTAAGTGTGAGCAAAGTCTGAATTAACAGCCTCACCCAATCATTTGCCATCGAGCATTTATTGCATTAATAAATATCTTAAATACTGGGCCTGGTGCTAGAGGGGGCATGAAATAATAAATGAATAAGACAGAGCTCCTGCCCTGAAAGGAGGCTCTGTTTCACAGAGTCTTTTAACAGGGATTCTTGACTTGTAATCTATAAATCCCGAAGAAGCCCATGGACAGAAACCAGGCATTCCATGAACTTGAATGAGAAACGAAAATTGCATCTGTATTTTCACTGACTTTATTAAATATTAGCGTTTTCTTTGACAGTGAAAGAAGACACAGACTATGGTAGTATTAATGGTACCTACGATTTTTTTTCCCACCAATTATCACCAATACAAGTTACAGATATTTGCACAGGACATTACAGTTGCTTCAGATACCTCAAAATATTATTGACACTGATGATGACTTCAAAATTGGTGGAGATACTGTTACTTATTGTGTTGGTAAAAAGTACAAAAATTAGGGGGAGGGGTATAGCTCAGTGGTAGAGTGCATGCTTAGCATTAGCATGGCCAAGGTCCTGGGTTCAATCCCCAGTACCTCCATTGACAAAAAAAAAAAGTACAAAAATTATTATATGACAAGTTGTTTTTAATATTTTGCTAATTTACTTAAACATAACTGGCTTCCTTTGTAACCATATGGCTTTCATTTTATACAATTAAAATATTATCCTGAGATCATCTAGTACCAGATTGCCAAAGAGGTCCTTGGCACAGGAATATTAATAACTTCTGACAATCTCTTAGCGACTCTCTGTTGCCCAGAGGATAAAAAGTAAGTTCCACAGCCAGCACTCAAAGCTCTCCATAGCCCATCTCTCACCCTTGCCCATTTCTCCATTCTTGAATCCTAATAATTCCCACCTTAAGCTTGGCTGGTCAATAATACTGGGTTGAATCTTGTGCCCCACACAAGCTACCGTGCTGTTTCATCCTTATGCTTCTTCTTCTATTGGAATTCTCTTCACCCTTATCTAACCCTGTTTGTTCATCTGAAAAATTTGCACTTATCTTTCAAGAGACTACCTCCCCTAAGTGAGGTTGTGTCCCTCCTCTGTGTTTCTATAGGACCTTGCATATATCTGTGTCACCAACCTAACTGCATTCAATGACAGTTATTTTGCATCTGTGCTCTCTGTTAGACTGGACCCAGCATCACCTGTTTCCGCTTTGTCTCTGCTCAGTCCTAGTTTTTCTTTCAGATCCTGATTAAAAGTATTAAAGGCAATTTTCACCTCGAAGGAAGTAAAAACCATTACAAAACTATAAAGGAGTAGCTTTCATGTTTTTATGCTGCTTTGTTCACAGGAGAAATCTTTCCCTTCCTCGTTCCTTCTCTCTGTCCTCGCATCCTCCCAGTCAGCCACAGAAATCAGAGCCTGAGGACAGACTTTATTCTTCCCTAAAAGCTGTTTCTGAAATAAATTCAGGAAGATGCAAAAGCAGTTTCTTCCTTCCTCTACACTCAGACTAGAGAATTGTCAGCCTCCCAGAAACAAAAAGAGAGAAAATAAATTCGCTTTTTCTTTTAGAAAATAGATCCCTTTGTTTTCCATGATATACTTTAAATACAAAGATAAAACCCTAAATGTTATCAAATAATAGATTAAATATAAGTACTCTAAATACTCTGCTACTCATGCTAGCTAACTGAAAAAAAACCTATTAGAATAAAAGGAAATTGTTTAATTTTAGAATACGAAGTCCTGTGATACCACACATGACAATGTTTAAGTGTTATTTGGGGATAATATTTAAGTGAATTGTTTCTAAGCATATTCCAAAGTGAGCTAGGCTATTTCAGAAAACATATTCAGTCAGATTAAATGGCCTAAAACAGCAAATAAAGAGAATAAAATTCAGACTCGCTCCATTGATAAAATAATATATAAGAAGAATGTAACGCAAGAATAATTCATTACCGATCTCAAAGCTTCCATTTATAAATCCGACTAGGGATGTTGGGATGTTGAATTGTCTCTCTATTTGTGTGAGCATGGAATTCATAAAAGATCCAGATAGTGTTTTGGATACATATGCACATGTTATTGCCAACAGAAACATCTGGGGAGAAAAAAGGTATAAGAAAACTTATGAGAAATTTATTTTTAAGTTGTATAATTGTCACCTTTGGATGAAATATCTTCTACCACAGGACCAATTGTCTCCAATTCAAGTAACTCTTGCATTTTCAAGAAGCTTTTAAAGGTAACCTTGACCACTCACTCCTTATCTTCCCACCCTGCTGTGTGCCTGCCCCTATGACAGCCTTCAGCACTGCACTTCATTTACGTGTTTGGATGCCTAAAACCTCCTCCCTTACTGGGCTATGAGCACCTTGATAATAGGAACTGTATGTAACTTACCTTTGTATCTTTGGTGTCTAGCAAATGCCTTGCAGATAGTAGGCACCCAGGACACCTCTACTGAATTAATGACAGAGTAAGTGTTCAAAAACATCCTAAAGAAATGTTCAGAGCTTTCACTTGAAAGTGAGCTGAATGGAAGATGAAATGCAACAGGATTAAATACACCTAAATCAGACGTTATCTGCACCAATTAGTGTGGGGAACTCTGAATAGAAATTTATGTGAAAAAGACCTGGGAAATTTAAATATCAAGCATAACAGGAGTCAAAACTCACATTGTTATTTGTCTGACGAGACAGTTCAGATATTTCTCTAGCTAATTATCTTTTTACACTAAATATCATTTGTAGAAAATCTGTCATCACACTGTAAATCTTTGCGAAGCACACTGTTGAGAGTAAACAATTTTTTCATGGTTTTAAAATTCAGGTTTTATACGTAAAAGCAAGCAGGGTCTACCACATAAAGTGAAGACCATACTTGAGAGAATGATTTATTTTATGTAATATTTTCAGAAAGGAAACTAGATGAATCATGATCCCAACACTCTTTTCCTGAAACACCTAGATGAGCTGTCGAAACTGTAGGCTTCAATTCATAGAGTGAGAGCAACTAATGACTATTCTGACTTGGGCTAGAGATGACCAGACTCTTTGTCTAATGCAAAATAACCTCTCTGTTTACAGAGCTAGTCCCACCAGGTTTTAACAATGCCCTAGAGTTTGAAGCAAATTTGTTGAATACTTTGATACTGTCTAAAACATTTTGCTTAAGGAGCATATTTCTAGGGCCACAGAAACAGAAAAATACAGCTGATTATTAAGCAATTGTCTCTTTTATCTGATAAACTTGTGCTGTCAATATTTTGCCATAGCATTCACGTCAATGTCTAAACCAGAGAAACTCCAAAGTAATAATAAAAATAAAATTTAAAGATCAATTCTTTATAAATAACACCTGACTTGACTTTTCTCCACAAATGCTCTTTACAGTTTATTGACCCTTTACAGTTTTCTAGTCATTGTTCCAAGCATGTAAGAAGAAACAAATTCTATGAGATAAGAATATTGTTATTACCTCTTTCAGATGAGAAAATTGAAACACAAAGAGGTTAAGCAACTTGTCCAAGGTCACACAGCAACTAAGTAGTTGAACTTGGCACACACCTAGGAAGCCAGGGCCTCAATCTTTATTTCTAACCTCTTCATTTCAGGAGATGGACGTGAGAATTAAGGGATAATTTCAGGGGAGTTTTGAACAACAATGTAATTCAAGTAGCATTTTGGGCAAAAGTATTTTTTTTACATCTATATCATGATTCTCCACTTTGTACATGCATAGATTTTTCCTACACATGTATAAACAGAAAACTTTTGAAGGGAAGAAAATTAATGGCAGTGTCATAGTTTGGAAACCACCTGCAGGCACTAGCTGTAGAATCAAGACAATTTTCCCGAAGCCCTTGGTTTAAAATACAGATTTTGTTTGAAGGCAAAATGGCTTTGAAGCTCTGCAAAAAGAATTTGCTCTGAAATAGTCAAGAATACCAGAAACAGCCAACCAAACGGGCATTTTTCTTATAGAGAATGATTGGTATGTTGCCCAAGCTCTAAGTAAACATTTGTTTTAGTGGGTCATTGTGAGGTCATCACTGCATACAGATCAATAAAGCTTTTGTGTCCAATGAACCATTTTCCAGGAGTGACCTCCATACTCCTCTGACCTAGAAGCCCCAGAAGGGTAAGAATTAAACTGGCCTTTGATTCAGGAAAAACAAGTCCTGCTCTAATACAATGTGTGCTTGAAAATGTTTACGACCCCGTCTTCCATTTAAATCCCCTCAAAACTATTTCTGATTAAATTGCCTGAATCAATAATCCTACTTAGACACACTCTCAGTTACAAACCAACTTCATTAAAGCAAGAAATTATCGATGTATCAGGCCTTAGGACATTAATATTAGATCACTACATGAGGATATGAACAACTTTACAAGGTCTAAGTTTAAAAAATTTATATATATACGGTACAATACATTTATCCACACAAAGCAAGTCCATACCTTCAACTTGGAAAGACATCTTATTCTATGAGTTTCAATTCTTTTCTCAGTTTCTCCCATGTTGCTCTTCCGAGTGTTCCAAGATATTTATGTTTTAAATCTTGATATTTCTTAGTTCTATTCTTTTAAGGAGACAAAAATCTATTAAATTTCTGACAAAATCATAAATAGTCATTCTTCTGAAGAAAATACTAAGTTTGAAGAACAGAATCAGAATCCATTGTGTTACAAAAATACCTAGGAAGCTTCTGATTGAGATCTCGAAAGCAATGACGTTGGAGAAGATTTAGTTGTTAATTTTCCATTGAAAAAGTTACATCAAATCACTGTAGTTACTCTTTAGTGAGATTAAAGATTAGAATAATTTGTTATGGTCCCCTTGCAAAATAATGGCCACGTGGTTGAAACAAAGATTTCATTTCTTTAGCCAAAACAAATAAAATCAAAGTGAACTCCTTGGACTTACATGAAAATGCTGCTTTTAAGAACACACAGACTTTGATTTGTGTTTGTGCTAAAAAATCTGCTTTAGCCAGCCTACCAAGGATCAAAAATCTCTATTTGGCCAGGTTCCCTCTTCGAGTTCTTTGCGTTCCAAGACTTCCCTGGAGTCTCAGGAAGGGAAACACTTTCTGGGGCACTGCTGATTCACGGAAACCTGGGGAGACAAGGAATTTTAATCATGGAAATTGCCTAAGTGAAAATAACAAATACATCTACGATCTGGAAAAGAATCCTACAGCTGCAAGTTAAGATGTAGGTTTAGGAGAAGACCAAACACATAAGAAGAAATCCATATGTATATCCACATATTATAATGAAAGCAGATATATGTGTATCTATAATATACAGGCACACATTTTATATGTAGATCAAAAAGATGACTTAAACTCTATTAAATTCTACTAACCCCTTGTCAAAGACTTTTGTCAATTTTGTGTCTTGAAACTAGGGCAATATTCTGTACCAAAACCAAAGTATTTCACTCTGACAATACTTATTCTACTAAATCTACTTCAAGTTGCCAGATGCTATTTTAACAGTATCCCCGGCGTTAATTTATTAAAATCTTCTGAATGATATCTATTTGACAACATTCTGAATGGCACTTATTCTTAGAAACCTGAATCCCACTACCCTACACACAATAAGGCAATAGCCATGGAACGATGATGTATGAGCTTAGTTCTTTTCACTCACTCTCTCACGAAGACAACAGATATTTATCAAAAGTCTACTATCTGCCAGTCATTGAAAGGATTTCAGCAGTGACCAAGGCAGACATGTTATCCTAAAGACAATATGAACCAGGTTGGGAAGTATAAGGCTCTGCGGAAAGTCCTTGGACCCAGATCCCAAGGAACTTAACACTTTCATTGGGAAAGGTAAAACCTTTCAAGAAAACACATCGGAGTAGAACTAGACAGTATATGATCAAATACAAGTTGTTCCGGTAGGTAGGTGGTGAAAAAAATTCAGAGGTCATGGATGGAAATTATTAGAGACACGCTTGGCAATTCTGAATGGCCGTAGGAATGAACTTATCCTGAAAGAAATCCCTCAGATAAAATTCCAAGTGACCTTAACTGTAGTGCAAGTACGTGACACTGGGTTTGGAAAAACTCATAGAATGGGACCATTTTTCAAAAGAGTGGGGAGTGCTATTCTTTGGTCTCCATCTGTAGTGCATCTGCTTTTATCATAAACCCCTCAAGAGCCCTCATTTCTCCTTCTCATACATTTTAGGACCCAATCTCTCTCCACTATCCTTCTTTCCTTTTATCCCTTCTCGCTGGTATTTCGATATATTCGAGCTCAGTATAGTCACTCAATCAAACAATGAGAGAGGGAGAGAACTTAATCCTTTTTGTATCAAAGTTGACTTCATTCTTCTCAGTGGCTAAAAACAAGACTATTCAAAATGCCTCGTTTTTCCACGTAGCTGAAGGGGCCCAGAGGTTGGAGTTGGTAACAGAAAATCACCACGTTGGCAAATTGTTGTTCCTTCTATACTTTGTGATACTGTGCAGGTTTTATCATCATGTCTCAAAGATTTGTTTCAAAATGTGTTTACAGCCTTGAAAGAAGTTTTATGAACAACTGTCTTGACTGGCGTAAAATGTATTGTTAAAAGCTAAGCACTTGGAAAGAATGTGATCCAATTAAACTTAAATGTCCCCTAATTTGCCAGCTTATACTATGAGAACATCTTAGCTTTTCAGACACTTTTTTTTAATGGAGGAAAATCAATAAATGAATGAATAAGTTCTATTCTTTTTATTTAACAAAATTTGTAAATACGCATAGTGAACGTCACAATCACCGTTCAGGACTTGGGCCCCAAATCAGAGAATGCACCCGTTGTTCCTTTAGATCCTCAAGGCCGGGCTAGTGCCAGGCGTGTAAACAGTCCCCCTTTGTTAGTCCCCCTTGTTTACACGGTGACTTCTGCTCCCAGGACCACAGCATCACCGACAAATCCCCATCAATCACCACTGCTAATGAAAATGCCTTGCTGGAGTTTTATTAAGCAGAGAATCACTTTACGTCTCTAATGCCTTCTCGGCGTTCACATGGGGGCAGGCCATTCTTCAGGACCTTACTTCGCACAAACGTACTTGAGTTTCTTGCAGGTCTACTGGTCATGACTCTGCTTTTGGTTTTTGTTTTTATTTTTGTTCTAGCTGGTAAAGCACATTACAGAATGGTTAACTCTCTGCACATTTTGGGCCAGTGGATTCCTAGAACTTTTTCATCTTGCCCGACTGAAACTCTGTACCCACCGAACAGCAACACTCTGGGGTCTGAGACACCCCTTGGTTTCCAGCCCTGCATAGCATGTCTCAACCACAAGAGAATACAATTTTTGGTAAAATAAACAAAAGGTTTTCTTGTGTTCTCTCCCCAGTGGTAAATACATAGACATAGCTTATTTTACTCCAAGTCACCTGGGGAAAAAAGCCATACATTTAATCTTATATTATTATATACTACTGAATTAACAAAATAAAGGCTTTATCATGGCAAAAACTCGTAGTACATACATGAAGAAGACTTAGGAGAACATCCTTTCCCTGGGACAAAAGAGAGGGTCCCACCAGCAAAAGTCTTACAAAAAATGTTTATTTCCAGAATCCTCAGATGGCTCCCAGCTCCGCAGGAAGAGGACAGGCTCATGGCTGTATCCAGCAGAAATTATTCAACCAATACCCAACCAAGAAAGTACGTGCCAAAGCAGCACATGGAGAATCAACAGTGACCCTTTGTGTGATGCCTACCAAGTTATTTTGCTTCTATTTGTTCCTTTTCGTCAGAAACCAAAGAATAAGACAACGGATTCTGCAAATCAGCCTTATAAATGTAGGCATTATTTTAACTCCAAGCTCAGAGACCAGGAATGCATCATTCTAGGAAAAACTAAGGGAGAAACCCACCTGGGCCATAGACTCATGCAAAGGATTTTACCACGCAGAACAGGGAACGGAACACACAAAGACACAAAAACCACCATCAACAACCCAGTGATAAAAATACCTACCAGGTTACTTTAGAAAACTTGCTGCCTTGCTCCAGATAATAGACCCAGACATGGAAGAGTCATGCTAAAACCTGACTTCTAAGGAGAAGTCTTTAGGAGAGCTGGTTGTAAATACCGTCACTATTACATCTCTTGCCGAGTAACTCTAGAGAATGATTAGATAATTATGGGAGTAGCCAATGTTTTCCACATTTGCAATTTAAACTGTTTTGTTTTTCAGATTATTATTCCAATTCTTCTCTTCCTTTTGCCTGCATAAGCATAGTTTCAGATACAAAAGCTTGTTCCTTCATTTAATGATGGCAAGTAAATACTGAACTCCTCCTTTTTCTCACAGAGAGATTTTCTCTGTTCATGAAGCTCCCTGAATAACTGAACATCTAATAAAACGTTTAGAGGTTTTTTTTTTCCCAACCCAATTGTTTATGAGTGTGTTTATGCATTTGCATTAATGAATATAGCAAGACGTTCAGAACTTAAAGCACAGTTAGCTTGGGTTTAACCTAATTAACTTGTGAGCTCTTTCAACTCTGAGCCTAGTTTTCCTTATCTATGATGCTGGAAGATTTATGCCTACTTTGGAAGATTGTTATGAAGATTGAGTTATAAAATTTACGTAAGACCCCTAGCATGCTTGCTGGAATGAAACAGTCAGTCTGTAAGTGGCAGTGATTATTATTCATTCATTCCACAAATATTTATTAAGGCTCTACTACATTCCAAGCACAGTAGTTGGTGCTAAGCATACAAAGATAAATAACAAATGTCCTTGCTCTCAGTCTCACAAGCTAATGGGAGAGATGGACAATTAAAGACAGTAAGAGCTGGTTAGTCCCATCATGTAGACAATTTGGGCTAAGTAATTAAAATGAGCAATTAATGAAAACTGTTTATTTGCATATTCATTTGGAATATCATTTGGATACAGCATAGTGGTTTAAGTACTTGAGCTTTGAAATGAGGCACTACTGATTTGAAAGCCTATTTTTTTTTAACATTTTTTTAATTGAGTTACAGTCATCTTACAATGTTGCCATGAAAGCCTATTTTTAAACTAGCTGTGTGGTTTTTGTATAAGTCCCTTAATCTATCCATACAACGAAGATAATCTGTATCTTTATATAAGTCAAGCTCTAGACGTGAAAATAGAGCCCATGACAGGTAGTTCAATTGGTTAATTATGGGATACCAGTTCTAAAGTTATCAGAAGAGTTAAAAAGCTGAACTGGACAGTCGATAGGCAACACAGAGGTTTCCGCCCGTGGAAAGTCTCTCCCACTCCTAAGGCTGTATCGGAAAGGGAAGCGGGCTGAGCTGCAGGAGCTGGCAACCTTAGGGACACACAGCCACTGCCAGAGGCACCGCTTAAAGCGGGGAGCAGGAAAAATGCCCTTCCTGTTCCCCTCTACCACCCCAGTCTCACACCAAGTCCTTTTGACAGTCCAACTGGAAATCAGATGCAAAGGAACCTGGAAAATTTAGTTTTCTGAAGTCAGTCCCTTGGGGTACAGAGAGGATCAGAGAATGGGAGGGACAACACAAATGACTGGCACAATCACAATCAGCTGCAGTAAAATTAAATAAGACAACACATGGTAAGTGTGTAAGATGATGCTAATACACATTGAAGTGTAGCTGTTTATGCCATTGGATATTATACCTTTATTCCTTCATGCTCTTAAATTCAGGAGATTTCACAGTTGGCCTAATTGACCAGCTCTTGATATTACATATGCAGATACTGTGATCTCCATGTGTTACCAAGTGAGACTTTGTCATCCAATCAATCAATTTTTAATGGATTCATATATATTAACCAACTACTTTTGCATCAGGTAAACCCAGCCATTGAATCCTTCACTCAGCAAGGTATATCCAGCTTCCTTACTTAAGTTATGTGTGGGGAAAATGTCCAAAGAAATCCGGGACACATAGTCTGAATTACCACCAAGTGCTTAGATAGAATGCTTTAAGGATGCATTCACAGAGCAAACACAATATATTAAAGTCAGAGGGTAAAACCTCTTCATGGAGGATGGAGAAAAAGGCAAAAGGATACTGTTATTATTCCTCATTCTTGTTATTGCTTTCTATGTAGATGGAATTCCATTAGCACCACA